GATTAAGTTTTCAAAAAATGCCTATTTTTTTGGACTTTCAAAAAAAGAACTTCTGCGCACTCGTAGAAATCATCAACTACATATTGCCAAAGTTCGACTGCGCCACATAGAGTAAAGTTATGAAAGATGTTATAACACTTACGATTAATTCCCATCCGATATTTCTAAGACAGAATTATCTTATGTATTCAAAAAGATGGCTAAAGTACGGATTTGGCTAACAAAATTCCAAATTTCAAATTCATCAATAAAATCTGACATGAGTCAAATTGCGATTGCTATACGCAAACGAGGACGTCTGTCTTCCATCAGTGACGCTCTGAAGGTGTTGCTCGAGAGTGGGGAGGAGGGAGGGGCGACCTCAGAAAGGGAGGAGCGACCTACGGAGCTATTTCGATTTTTCATTATTTGGAAACACTCAATTCTTCAGAATCGAGAACAAGTCACTAGTACAATGATATAAATATACACATACCAGTGAAGTACCCAGGATTTCCGTTCGGGGGGGGGGGGAACATATATTTTTTTCAGATAAAGGTGTGTTAACCACCCACTCCGAAAAATTTTTTGGGATGCTTCCGAAAATTTGCGGCCCCTGACCCCAGAACAGAAAAAGGGAGCGCGGCGGTAGCCACGCCCTCCAAAAAATTTTTTTGCACTCATTTTATGCAAAATCCGAAACTTTTTAGTTTAGATTGGAGACCAAGCTCAGAGCAAGAAGAACCAACGGTTACAGTTGATAGAATACCCTTCGAAGCGTAAGTTGCTCGATAATCACATTGGCACGGATGATTTCCTAAAGCAGTTTAGGCAATTGCTAAGAATGATTGGGAGAGAGCATGCTATCGGTCATGCGCGGTGAGCAAACATTTTCACGCAACAGTTGTGCATATTTTTGACAAAACTCAACCTTTAGAGTGCTTATAGTAGCATGTATTTTGATGGTAACGATAATGCTAGCATGGTTCTTGAAGTATGCACTATTTGATAAAGGTCTTACATCTTCTTCCAAACACAGCAAACCGAGGAAACATAGAGGTTAGTTCTGTATATAGAAAAAATGTTAAAATCAATTTGTAGGATGTAATAGCCAGAAATGTTTGATCCACGATACTTATAATTCTTAAACTCGAATAGTCCATATCGGCGCCACCTTCTGACTACGAGCTGATGTGAAAAAGTTGGGGGGGGGGGGGAGTAGTAAGGCCGTTGACCCGAAGAGATAGCGCGCAACACTATAATTATATTTTTTTAATGTGCACTATAGACCGTTTAATGCAAATTAGAAGACGTCACTGGTACAACCTCATTGATTTTTACAAATTCTTCCAGGCTCACGCCGTAATCCCGGCAGTGGAAGCGACCGGAAGAACAAACAGAAAGAAAAAGAAGTAAAGACATAGGTGAGGCAAAAGAACACCCCGCATGAATGTTTAAAGACAGTGGCTCGGCAAAACTTCGACCTGAAGTTTTTTCGCTGACTTGGAGTAACTCGACGCGGTGATTTTGAAAATACACATTGAAGAGCACGAAAATGACGAAAACCCGCATTTTCCAAGGGTTCTCATTTTGAGTTTGGACGAGCGGACCACCCCCCGCCTTGGTTAGAGACGTAGAGTCGTTGCGAGACCGTCATGTTTATAGCATTGCGGCATGCCGCCTCTGACGGTGGGAGGGGACCGCAAGCTCGAGCGCGTGTAAGAATGGCTGCGCGCACGGGTTTAGGGGCAGTTTTCTAGGCAGGGACAGCATGTAGTGCGCTCGGACCTGCTCTTTTCTAAAGCTTGGGATGCAAGCAACTTTCTATATCAAAATTTCGAGATGTTGGTTTTGCCGAGCCACTGCCTTTAACACGTTGACGACCGCGCCATTTTGGGCGAAACTCCCACTAACGTCCTTAGCGCATTTGGCCCGTGCATACGCGCGGATGCACGAAAACATTATGTGGGAGTCTTTTTGTCACTTATTAGTAAAACATGCGAACTTTATTCAGACATCCAGGTATATCCCAGAGCCTTATCAGGACTTACACAAATCAATGTTTTTGCATCGATTTTCCCTCCAATAATCCATGTAATGGCTATATCTGAGGAATCGCTCTTCGAGAAAAGCGTTGTAAAACCATATGTTTTTTGCCTGATACATCTTTGTTTGATTTCAAAGCAGCAATACAGAGTTTTCACCTTCTCGAGAAAACGTAATTAGCATGTACTGATTACATCAAAAACGTACTGATTACCCAATTTTGCGTCCAAACTTCTAAACAGCTGCCGCGATGCCCTGTGTTCTGTAAAACAATCAGGCCACTAATAGTATTACTGCATAGAAGTTACCTTAAAACTTTTCGTTTGCACCTAAAAAACTAGTGTGCATATGCGCGGATGCACGAAAATGCTAAATGGGAGTCAGGGCGTGCATACGTGCGGATACACAAGGTCGTCAACGTGTTAAGTAAGAAGCGTAGGGAAACCAGAAAGCAAATCTAATATGTTACAGATAAGACGCTGAGGATGCTAATCAAGCAAAAGCTGAACATAAAATCTTATTATGATATTGTTTGTTTTCAATAAAAGTTAGTGTTTTTATTGTATCTGTGCGCCTTATAATATCAATGATAGAGTGCCTTAGCAGTCATTTCAAAGCTTTCGCAAAAACACATATCTGCTAGAATTGCAGACGATGGACATCAATTCATGTTGGCCACTGTGTCATTTTCAATCTGAAAATGTTATAGGTACTGTTCCTTGACACAGCAGTTTTGCCCACTCTTGTCGTGTATTAGCTGCGCCTAAGGTAAGATGTTTCGAAACAAGCAAAAATTTTTTCTCATTATACAGTCATTGGAACATTTCTCTCCTTCTCATTGGGCCATTTCTTACAAGACACTGGTTGCGATTTCCAATAACTTAAGAATTTGGATGAGGGGTATACTCCGATAGGTTTTTGCAAGTTGTTTCCCTGCTGAATATGCTTTGTTATGTGTAGATTTTGTCTTCCACGTTGTAAAGGTCATTGTTATCCGTCCAGCAATTTGTTAGATTTCTTTTTTTTTTGAAGAAAGCTATAAATAATGCCAATGAAACTAATTTGAGGCCATTTCGCTGTGGTGTCCAATTATTTACTCATTTTTGAATTTCCCTGGTGTGAGTAAGAGGCAGATCCCTGTTTTTCAGTCTGCTTTTCTAAAAGAATGCTAAAAGGGAACCACGTTTATTCAAAGTGGCCTTTTATTTTTTTAGGATGTAAACTACATCGAAGAGCATAAAACGCTGATTTCAATTCTGGCTTCCTTACCTGCGGAATGTTCAAGAACGAAGAGTTATGAAGCAAAAAATTATATGCGCAAATACAACAAAAGTTGTCGTAGCATTTTTTCTAGCGCTTTCATAGAGTAGCATAATTATAAAAGCATTTTATTAGAAATATACTCTTGGATAGAAAACATATCACGCTTTATTGCTTTGTTTACTGTACTCGTGCAGTTGTCAATATGCCGCGCCTAATGTCCTCATTTTTTGAAGCGATATGTTCTTCACTGGGTTGAAAATGAAGTCATGCAGTAAGAATAAGGCGGTACCGAGGTCCCAGCGTTCTTTCCAAAATTTTGAATATCGTCATAGCGTGATTATAGAATTTAGAAAAAAATTGACCTTCGCAACGCATATGGCTGCACAATCTATCGTTCATGTTGGCTGCCCCCCCCCCCTCCCTTTCTTCAAGGGCTAGGGAGATTTTAGCAACTCACTTTATCCTAGATGCAGTTTTTCTTTTTTTGCTTCAATAAACGCTCATAACTCCTCGACCACAAACGTTCCGCAGATTAGGAAGGCAGATTTGGAAGCAGAGTCTTATGCTCTCCAGTATGGTATACATTCCATTTGAAAAGGTCACTTTGAGCAAACATGCTTGGTTGTAAGTAACGTTCGACACCAAACAACGAATCTTGCATCAGCAAACAGAAGTGAATTAGCGACACTTATATTATGAAGGCATGATTTGCTTTAGAATAAGTAGCCGCAGATAAGTGCGGCATAATCGAAATCAACCTTTCGAACTGATTCCAATTATATATGTCCCTGGAGCTCTATCGACCGCATACAACTGTTCAGTAAACAAGTCACAATTTTCGTTATTTTACCACTACTTCTAGTTGTTGTGATAGTACTGAATAGTGATAGCACGAAATTATGCAAGCTAGGCTCTGCCTGCCACATCCTACTTGCCCTTTTCCTCATTAGCACCCTTCAATTTTCGTTGATTTTACGTTGCAAATTTCTTCACTGCGAATCATCAACATCGCTTGATGTGAGAAATTTGAGCTGAAATCAGCCTTGAATTCGCCAAATCTCATAAAATGAGCTTTAACAACTTTGTGTAAGCTGTTTTAGGAGATAGGCTTCGTTTTCTAGTTGCCGTTTTGTAAAATCCGAGTACCTCCTCAAAATATTTTCCTCCCTCTTCAGCTATTTTTTTAACCATTCTATGGTTTCTTGAACCTTAAATACAAACACTGAGCCTTATTTGAGTCATGCTTGTTAGCTGGCATCTCCTTACATACAGTCATGAAGGATTATTCTACAAAAATTGAAGGAATGAATTTTACTGTAATTTCCAGCGTTCTACTCTGTGTGGTACAGAAATGAGGGCTGATAAAAATTTTTCATGTGTAATGCACACCGGTGTTTCCATTTTCCTGCAAAGCCACACTTGCGAAATTTTCTCGTATGCGTTATATCGAGCTCGCTTTGCAAGGATCCTAGTATTCGGAATTATTGCGCTAAAATAAGAAATACCGCAGTAAAAACCTTACTTAAACATTATACTCTACACCGTTGTATATCTTATCCGTGGAAAATTAGGAATTCTTTTTTGGGGTCTACACTATGTATGTCACACTCTAGTGAATTGTTTTTTTCAAATGTACTCAGACATTCTGCTACGATTCTTTATTTCTACTAATGATGTGCACGCTGAGACGTGAGGTTGAAGATGGAAAATGCTTAGTGCTTAGCCAGCTTGCGACGATTGACGTATACAGTAGAACGAGGTGGGCAAGGACAGTAGGCAGCATCATTTCCAGGAGTTCCTGGTCCTCCAGGCTGTCCGGGCTGTCCATCGGGTCCAGGATTTCCTGGAGCTCCAGGTTGTCCAGCTGGTCCAGGTGGTCCAATGTTTCCGGGTTGTCCAGCCTGTCCTGGTCCTCCGTTGTTTCCGGGTCGTCCTTGGGGTCCAGCGGGTCCAGGGCCTCCAGGGGTGCCTGTTCCAGTGGTTCCGTCTTGTCCTGGGTTTCCTGGTTGTCCGTCGGGTCCTGGGTTTCCTGGTGATCCAGCATCTCCGGGAGGTCCGAGTGGTCCGGGTTGTCCATCGTTTCCGGGCTGTCCGGGCTGTCCGGGCTGTCCGTCGGGTCCAGGGTTACCGGGCTGTCCGTCATTTCCGGGTGGTCCGGGTGGTCCTGGTGGGCAATCGATGCAACCAGGGTTGCTGCCAGGGCATTGGATGGGAGCGTAGGTGACGGTGTTGTCTGGTCCTGGTGGTCCAGGTTGTCCAGGTTGTCCTGTAAAACACATAAGTCAAGCCACTAGTATGTGCGAGCAAAATTGAGCAAGGATAAAACTAACCAGGCTGTCCAGGCTGTCCTGGTGGTCCTGGTGGTCCAGGTGGGCAGTTGACAGTTGGAGGAGTGCACTGGCAGTAAGCTGGGAGGGCCTGTCTCTTCTCACGGAAGATTGAGGCGAATGGATTCTGGCGAGGCTTGGATGGTGGAGAGACGGTGACTTGGTAGTCCATCATTTGGGCCCATGCAGCGTCGGTCTCAACGCGGAACACAGAGACTCCGTCGAGAACCTCATCGTGGATTTCGTTGATAGTGTTGTACAGAGAGGGTACAACCAGAAGGCAGGCAACGATGGCCAAGGTGGAGCAGGTGGAGGCCACACCGACGACAAGTTTCTCTTCGAACATTGTGATGAGTGCTGAACGCTACGCAAGTCTTTTATAGCGCACGGATACGGCGTGAAGGTCGCGGACTCTATAGAACCCTAGGGTTTTCGTATGAAACCGAAAACAAGAACCGATTACCGATTACCGAAAATGCGGTTCGCTTAGAGGCAGCCAAGTATCTCCCTGATTCTTATCGTTCTAATTGCAAGATAGTCCATGACGTTCCATTTACAATCGCCTGATAATTACTTTGGGATTTTGCAAGAGGAGGGAATGATCAGTAAGTTTTTTGTTCCTCTAACAACGTCTATAGTAGAATGGCGACATATAGGTTGTTGTACTATCTAGAGCCTTTTAGATCCTTTCAAGCCAATGTTTCTCCAAATGAAAAAGAAAATTTTCTCCCAATTATGGACCATTTTTGATATCAGAGGAGCAGACCCTGAATGTACGCGTCCTGTTCACTTTCAAACAATCTAATACCCGCTCATAATAGATTCGCTTGAAAAGAAATTCAGTCATGAAGAAGGGCGATAGGAAATATGACTCCTTGCATAAACGTCCTCCTAATGATATTACTGAATGGTCCAAAATGCTGATACCACGTGATGCATTCTTTAATCGGAGTATGCGATCAATTTTTTTCCGTTTTTGCCAAAATAATAAACTGTACTACACAAGTACTGGTAATTTTGTGACGATATGGCAAAAGATCTGTATACTTTCAACCACCTGTATCATTTCGGATCAAGTCAAGAAAGTCTTACAATATACAGTTGTGCACTCGACAATTAAATTTGGAAAGTGTGAGGATAATAGGAGCCTATTCATTACTAACATAAACACGTGATTTTGAATAAACAACGTGCTCCAAGATCGTGTGAGCACAAACTTTTACTTTTGTGCCATTTTCTTCTTTTTTGGTTTTTCTGAGTATATCAATTCCATACAATCCTTATTAGGTTTCGACTGATATGCAATGTCCATAATCGCTTTTCAAATAAATAAAAAAACATAATTTTCAGAATTTTGTCGCTATGAGTTACTATAAATTGAATCTTGTTGGTCAGCTGAGGTCAAGGATTTGAAGAACGATGAGTTTATTTTTTGGCTATCATGACAAACACCGCCTTCACAACCCACTTCTCCAATACGCCATACTAGTGAATGAAACAGCTTTGCAAAAAATTTTGAAGAATCTTACATTTTCATAGAGAAGTATTTTGGTATCACCATTCAGAAGATATTGCAAACCCATCAAGTTAAGGGCTGTGCTGGAGAAAAACTCTAGAATCTGATCGATAACAATAAGAAAGATAGTAAAAGTATATGTTATTTCTAATTTTCTACTTCAAACCACCAGATTCCTATTCTAAAACTCGCCCGGCGAAGACGAGCTGAAACTTCTTAGAAAGCTTACTGGTCCAGCAGGACCGATCAGACTAGTTTACTTACGGGAGGAGGCTGTTTGAAAAACTTCATTTTGAACTAATGTACTGGATTTTATTTTTTCTGCAAATTTTGTTGATAATGTTCTTAAATCCGATCCTCTCTTTCTGCTGGCAACCTATCCCTCTTCCCTGTCCCTGTCCCGTTTTCCAGGTTCTCTTTCAATACTTCTCTAATGGCAGCAGTATTTTGCTTTTTGAAGGTTTACGAAGTCCCTCACATCATGATGCAATTCTATGCATAGTATTATGTACTTCGCAAACCAAAACATTTCGAAACAAAGGCACGGGATGTTTACTTGCGAACGAATTCGATGTTAAAAATGTTCCCGCGTGGGAAGATGTTACGCTGTTTTACATCAGCTGCGCAGTGATCATAGCCATAACTGATCGGGCGAAAAAAATGGAACATGAGAAGTAAAAAAGAAAACATCATTGTTCCATTTAGGAAGGCACTTCACTTCTAATCCACGGCAACTTAATATATGCTGCAACCCTATATAGAACTTTGTATGATAAAGTAGTCAATACTTTGGGTTGATAAATATTCAGACTGAGTGCCGAATGCTTATACAATTAATAGGGGGGGGGGGGAGGGGCGAAAAAGGTCACAAATTCACAAATTCCATCAAAGAAATTGATCGAGATCTGCTCGCTTCTGACAAAACATTTGAAGCTTTCAGAGATAGCAGAAGTTGAAAATTAGCGAAATTTGCATTCATCCAGTAAATTGAACAACTTAAATCCAGATACAACAATTTTTTACGACGAAATCATGCAGCATCCAGAAATTTCTTCTTGAGGAGCGATGTTGCAAATTTGCCAGAACTTTTTTCAGTTAAGAGGGTGTTTTGGTTAGTACGAGCTTGCGTGTGCGGCTAGAACAGAAACCGCTCCCGCTTTTTTGCAGAGCTAATTTGAATATTATGAGGTTTTGAGATCTTCCCTGATAAGCTATAAGTGGAACAAGTAATTTTTACAGTTTTGTAGCTCATGTCGACAATTTAGAAGTTTCGGGGCTCATTTTCGGGAGTAAAGGGGGGGGGGCTCCTTGCTTCGCCTTGATATATATACTTGCTTAGGAGCGATCGCTTCTGGAAGTGTCCAGACGCAGACGCTGTCAGACGTCGCGACAGTTGCCGTGTTGGCGGCACAAACTCCAGATAAGCTGTGGCACCGGGTGACCGGCAATCCCCTAAGGCCCCGGACAGACTTCACGCGATTTGAAAAATTTCGGGCTGGAAAAGTATCACAACCGAAATGCAAGTTGATCGGCATGGAATGACTTTGTAACAGTTGTCTCGTCGCGATTCAGTCGCGACGATCCAATCCCGTGAAGTCTATCCGGAGCCCAACCCATTTTCTATCCCCACATCTTTAGATATATGTAATAATGATAAGTTGATCCAGTCAGGAACTGTTTTGTTAAGAAGCAAGATAACAGGGTAGAGGGATCAAGTAGTTAGGCTAGGGAACATAAAGATGCGTTGGAAAGTTTTTGGCCTTTTGCTTTATGCTGAAATCGAATCAGTCAGAGCACTATGTCGCTAAAAAAAGAAGGCAGAATGATCAGCAATTCTGGCATCTGCAATTTTGCGGACCTTTGAAAGTCATCTTTCACAGGCTTCAGCTTGGATTTACGGTACAAAGAGAACTCGATTACTCCTTGTTAGACCACATAAGAGTTTCAGGATGTTTGCTTGCTCCGATAAAAACCAAACTTGTCCCAAAAAATGATTTAAAGAGGTACAAGCTTTGTTATCAGGTTGATAAGGATCAATGTTCGTACCATAGACTTAGAGCGATGTGGAGTGAAGCAATTGGTGATGAAGAATAAGATTTGTGGGATCTTTACTCTGGAGTCTCGTCGAAGAAATGGTATCGAGTGCAATAGCATCTATTACGTCAAAAGAGACGTCTCTAAATAAGTCCGTAAATCATCAAACATTTTAAATCACGAATTGCAGTTCTCATACGACTGTAGGGGATAGAGTTTCTCGTATACATTGAAGTCAAAAGTTCTTGAATAGCTTCGCCAGATACTTAATCATTCGTAGGCGCTTGAAGCTAGTAGTCTGAAAATGTTTGAAAACGCTGCTCTACTGTCACAAATTTATGATTTTGAAGTTGAAACTTCAAACTTTTCAAAAAGTGTATAGATTTGAGAATAGCAGGAATGGGATGAGAAAATAATCGCAAGAGAGATACATAAAATGACAATGAGAGGTGCTCGTATGCAACCACTTTATTGAATTGAAATTTTGCGTCCCACGCTATTTACAGTTACGTCTTTGACAAAACAAAAAACGTAGATGTGCGAGTCAACAGTATATGTAGAATATTTTTTAAGCTAAAAGTTAAAAGAGGTTTTTTGATATACTTTCCACCAACAAATTTGAGATCACCAAAAATTTGGCAAAAATCAACCCACAATTTTGACGTTATTCTGTGAGGAAAATTAGTAAATGTTTAAGTATTTTAATGCATTACAGTACCGCTCATAATTCGCCTACAAAAGTCACCGAACTCTACCAGAGTCCACAAATCGGCATCGCATCCATATCATGGCTCAGAGAGGATGAATTCTGAATCCAACGGCACCTTTCCAATCAGTTCGGCGAGGCGCATCTTCTGATATATAGAAATGTCCGTTTGGTTCCCAAACTTAGGATTTTTGCCCCCGGTAATGTTCATTGAATAGCACTGCTAGGAGCAACCTACCGTAAGCAAAAATTCAAAAACATTCGTGAAATCTCTACTGAGTCTTTGCGCCACTAATTTGAGCGCTTATTTCATAGCTAATCTATACAAGTTTAATTCCTTATTTTCTTCATAAATATTTGGTGACTGGACTTGAGCTAACTTTTTTGTTTTTGTATCTGCTGATTATGTTCTCATTACTTCGTTCTAATTATTTCTTCGTTTATGGTACACCTTATGCGTAATAAATAAATAAATAAAAAATAAATCTGCCACCTACTTTGCAACTACCGTATACGAGCGGGCAAATTATATGAGAAGATGCATCTCGCGGTGAAGCCGAGTCGAACGGACCTCTTGGGTTCGGAATTGAATCAAAGGCACCGTTCTGACTCAGCTCCATGCTAGACCAAGAGATGGCGATGCGACGCGGATTTCGGCGAACTCCAGTGCAGTTCGGCTACCTTTTTTGATTATTATGAGCGGTGGTACTCCACTAACGAACAGAACATGAAACAACTGCTTGTCGCCGTAATGTTATTGTGGTACCGTCACTAGTTACATAAACCTTCTAATAACAATCAGATAAGGGTAAAGATTGAGATTTATTGATAAGAGTGAGAACTAGAGACCTAAAATAGATCATACTGGTCCCTATCTGGGTTACCTATATTCCAGGTTGCAGGTCAGTCCTTATCCCATTGCTTTAGCTTATTCATATCTATTCATACCGGAGATATATATTTTCAAAAGGATCTACATGATTTTTCCTTATCACTTAGGAGCCACATAAAGATTCATTAGAAGTATATTAGCTTTCTTTGCTTGCTAGTTTGTGCTGTTTGTATTCGTTTTGGAGTGACACGGTTAATTTTCTTTCATAAACCTGGATGAGGCAAAACTCTTAGGACTTGACAAAATTTAATGCATAATGCAAATCTCATAATCAGCATTAAGAGATTTGAGCTATACCAATTCAAGTTTGAATAAATCTTGAACAGTTGAGTTCAAAACTTCGAAACCAAAATCGAAATAGCAATCTTAGAAACAAATCTTCATCTCATATCTGCTTTCAAAACTTTCACACTTTTCAGTTTACAAAGATGTACAGAACAGTATAAAAGCCTTTTCGACGCACTTGCATATATCCAACACACAATGTTTGAGGAGAAGCTCGTCGTCGGTGTTTCCGCAGCCGGCTCCACCTTGGCCATCGCCGCCTGCTTGATTGTGGTTCCATCTCTGTACAACACCATCAACGAGATCCACGATGAAGTTCTTGACGGCGTGTCCGTGTTCCGTGTTGAGACCGATGCTGCCTGGACCCAGATGATGAACTACCAAGTCACCGTCGCTCCACCAACAAAGCCTCGTCAGAATCCTTTCGCCTCCATCTTCCGTGACAAGAGACAAGCGGGTCTCCCATCATACTGCCAGTGCACTACACCAACCGTGAACTGCCCTCCAGGACCGCCAGGACCACCCGGACCACCTGGACAGCCTGGTTTGTTCATTTTGCAAACTGTTGCTGTCACACGCATACTCGTTACCTAATTCACCTTTCTTGCAGGACAGCCTGGACAACCTGGACCACCCGGACCAGACAGCACCGTCACATATGCTCCGATCCGCTGCCCAGCACAGAACACCGGCTGCATCACTTGCCCACCAGGTCCAGCAGGTCCTCCTGGACCAGACGGACAGCCTGGAAGCCCAGGGCCCGACGGACAACCTGGAAATCCTGGCGCTCCAGGAAACGATGGACAGCCTGGACCAGTGGGTCCACCCGGAGATGCTGGAGCACCTGGAACTCCAGGACCTGACGGTCAGCCTGGCCCACCTGGAAAGGAAGGAGCCATGGCAATGCCTGCGGCGCCCGGACCAATGGGATCTATGGGTTCCATGGGACAAGGAGGTAATAACGGTGCTCCGGGTACGCCTGGACAACCTGGACAGCCTGGACCACCCGGACCACCCGGACAACCTGGACCTCCTGGTAACGCTGGAAGCGATGGAAGGCCTGGAGAGAATGGAAACGCAGGAAGTCCTGGATCTGACGGTAACTACTGTCCTTGCCCTCCTCGCACCGTCGCCGTCAAGAAGGCGGCCGCTGTTAAGAAGATCGTTAAGAAGATGTAAACCCCCTTTCAATGGTTTCGTAGATTCGACGAATGTGTTCAGTCATAGTCATTCGTTGAGAATAAAGCGTTGGATCAGATTTCTAAAAACATTCAAAAAGCTCTCAGTTCAACTCCAAGAACTCAAATTTTTGGTCTCTGCTGGTGTTGACATCAATGCCTGCAACGATGCACTTGCAAGATCTCAGCCAGTAAAAAAATGCCGTAAATTTTTGCCATCACTAGTCATCGTAACGCGGCGTCCTTCTAACGATGAAAGATAACAGGAAACTGCGCAAAAGAATCGGAATTAGCGGGGAATTATCCCAGATAGCACGCAAGGCTACAACACTTTTACTTCGTTACAAATGTCAAGGTGACACATGCGATTATATACCTGTGATATTTTCAGAGTAGAAAGCAGTATTTAATGAAGTTTGCCCACCAACAGTGAAACATTTTATTTCGACTTAGACGAGATCAGTAATTGATTATAATATTTGCTTTGATTTAAGTCTCTTCTCTTATCGGGGAGAATTGGATCTGACGTGGTTCCAGAGTATGACGACTGAAAATGGAAGTTACTATGGAAAAGTATATGAGGCAATTTTCTAGATACGAATTCGCACACATGCAAATATAACAACTGTCAAAAACATAAAGGCTGGGGTAACCCAGGTATATTTGATTCAGTTCTTAGATCAACTAGAGCATAAAGGCTTAAGGTTGAATATATGGACAGCCCAAGGAAAACTTCCTCTATATCGTCGCAGTTGTTTGGTGGTTTCATCCTTCAAGTTAGCCAAATCGATGAGCATCCTCTCGCTTGACTATTTTTAGGCGTTTTAACCGATTTTTTGTAAAATTGCGCCAACCGACAAAAGACGTTATTGGTTTTATTAGTTGTTTAGTGCTCATCATAGGATTTTAGTCGCCACTTTATCGGCCCAAGTTTTTTTTTACATTTTTTAAAATTTCTGACCTCATGACCTTTCATGCATGGATAGCGTAAAAACTGACGTCCCTAATCATATCATCTGTGTTTTGTCTAAAACTACGAATCACAAAGCAATCTGAATGCGAGAAACAACTTCTTCGAAAGTAGTTCAGATAGGCACCGATTTGGGAGGTACTGTACGAGAAATTAGTTTGGTATCTTGCAGAAATCGATTTTGCTCGAGAAGATTTAGCCAGAATTTGCTTAAATAACTAGGACCATTTAGGGAACAGTTTTTATTTCTTGAACAAGTCATGTGCTTTTACGAGTCATGCTTTCAATTCAAGTCTAGTGATATTTCATCGGTGGCCAAACAATTGGTACCGATGCGCAAAGCTTGAGTCGAACTAATTTAACCTACCGATTGAACTTGTTTGACCCTAATCGCTCTTTGTTTTTTCGTCTGCCTTTTAAAGTATCAAAGAAACCTAAAGTCACCTCTAAAAGCTTAGAGCATTAAATCCACGACTCACTTTTTATACTTGACTTGTGCGATGATGATGTTTGCGCGCTTTCCTTCGAACCTTTGGTCAGTCTAGACCGATCATACCAATCGTCCTCTTCGCTAATTATGAATTTTCCTCTGAAAAACCTTTTTATCAAGTAGGGTTTGCTTTGCATCTGGTTGTACACTCACGCCTCTAAAACTTTTCTGACTGTGCTTTTGCATTCACTAGGGACTTCCCAAAAACTCATCTCCATGTGCAAGCTCAAACTTCTCGTCTGGAAAACATTGGTAGATTCCTATTGCAAACTTCAAAATTTTTTGAGATATTTTTATGTATTGGTCAAAGCCTGTATCAATGTAAACTTATTGTTAGAGGGGACAAAAAAGCAAGTTTAGCGTAAAATATCTGTGATTTGTTTAGTGTGGCAGCTACAATATACTAGGTTGCTACACAAGTTTTGTTACGTACACTTTTTACCGCAGTAAGCTGAATTCTTATTTTTAAACAGTTTTGAGAGTACCATTCGGAGCAAAGCAATCCCTACAAGAAGGCGTGCAGGAGGTATTTCCAGCTTTGACCCACTTCAAGTTTGAAATTAAAATCCAAGAAGTTCTGGCTGATAGAAGAAGTTGAAAATTTATATCTTCGTCAAAAAATACACGGTCCATTGATACTTTGCACCTTAGGCATACATGAAGGGTGTCCCAAAAAATGTGCGAAAAATGTGTCAGTACGAACTAACCCACAGTATTTTTATAGATGTCAAATAAGTGTAAAGAAAGTGAGTCACAGTTCATCTTCTCCGCCCGGTCCATTGTGAAACCCTTGTGAAAATAGAGATCAATGTGTATAGCTGGTTTCGAGTAAGGAAAAAAGGGTTGGCCGAAGTAGCCTTTCGATATAAGATGGATACGGATACTAAGTGATTTTCAGGTTGCTCTATGCATTATATATTGTCAAAAACATATCCACGTAATGCTGCCTCATTTAGCTAGAAAAAGTCAACAACAGATTTTACACTGATTATGCATTAAAAATTCTGCCCAAAAAACCTTCATAGATTCCTGCCCAGAAACCCACACCAGATAAGAATTGCAAATTTGGAGTTATGTTTCAAACCCTTCAAAGCAGTTTACATCTCATATTGAAAAGCCACTTCAACTTTCCTTCCTTTCTGTTACATTTACTGTATGAGCAATTCATCGACCACTCTTCGTTACTCTGCAAAATCACAGTAGGAATTTCAATGAAGATATAAGGACATTGGGAGTCGTATTTTGCCTCAGAAAGAAAAACAAACAGGGCAAAACTCTTTTGCTAGACTAATCAAAGTCGCTAATGTTGAGTATGAACTTGGCGTTTTAATGTGAAGCTTTGCTCCTAAGTTATTCCAAGTAAATTGTAACAGCTCTTTCTCTAGCACCCGTCAGAAATGAACTCGCACCACTGAAGAAGAACCCAAAAAACTTATTAAAAGTCGTGTGGTAAATAGCATGCTTGAGACTCCTGCTGAAGAGTTTTCAAAAATTTTTGAACATTTTTAAACTGCCCAATTCACAGTGATTCTGGATATTGAAGTCCCTACCCTAAGTTTACTAATGAAGAGCATCGGTGATTCGCTCCATAGTGCAAATCTAAGTTGAAGCCAACTCTATGTAATGGACATCAATTTAAGAGAGTTTTAATATGTATTGCTCGAATAAAGCAGAAGGAAACCCACCATTTTTTTCATAATCATTCTTTCAAGAGCTCCAGCAAACTGATCCATTTCTATGGGATTTTCTACAGCCACAAACCACTCATTATCGCTCAACTTTTCCCGAATTTTCAAGCAGCATACGGGACTACGCTCCAGTGCACAAGTGTTCTCTAAATGATGGGTGCAGAGAAGGAAGAGGAATTTTAAACGTGGTAGTACCTTTCCTTTTTAGGCAGTGTACGAACATTATGCTGCGAAATTGATCCACTTTCAGTGTTGTCAAAAATTTGTAACTAAATATTATTATGCCAAGATCTTCTTCGGAAAAGCAAAATCCTGTATCTATATTTAAAGCGACATCTATAGGAAGATTCTTTTGATAACCGTAGAGGCAATTGATTGTAAACTTTGATATTAGATGTAACATAACATTGTTCACTATATGGAAGCACCGCTGTAATTCTTCGAATCCGCAGATTTGCAGTCATAGCTCTCATTATGCATCTTATTCTGTTACAAAAAATGTAATAATGAGTTTGTCTATGGCAGTATATAAGAGTGCTAACTAAGCGCAATTCCGATACTAAAACTATTGAAGATTTGATGCGCTCTTATAAAGTCACATTCTGACAAAAGTTATGTACATAGCCAACTTTTCGCAAATATGTGGCGTTTTCTAGGAATGTTAGAATCGGTGTTGCCTGAAAATGCCGATTAAAGGCAATGTTTCATCAAAATTGGGGTGGTGCGGGCTTCCACATATTTTGTTAGATGACACCCCTGAATAGGCGACCGCCCTAAGGTCATTCCCGGGCCCTTGTACGCTGAGATCGCCCCCAAAGTGGCTCGCTGTACACAACTTGCCCGCACGGCCGACGCCCCCGGTTCAGGGCCCGGCATCGTCTGGAAGAATGCTGGACTTCGTATTTGGAGCAAAAAGCAAAGGAGATATCGCGCCTTTGCGGAGTCGGGGTGGAGCAGCAAGAATAAGCGCCATTTAGTCGAACACAAGATTTTTGGACAGGTTATCACACGTTGACATGCTCTATCGTGTACGGCGAAAAGTGCGCGCGATTTGAAAGCAAGGCTTAGATAAACAAATGCTTTACGACGCACACAGAATCGTATGACACCAAAACTAAACTTTATACATAGAATATTATTTGCAAAAGAATTATGCAAAAAGATTTGAAAATTTATGTGAAGTATCACCTTTTCCAAAATTTCTGTCACTTCACATAAGTTTTGGATTTTTCTATCGTTGATGGATTTCCCGGTCAAAAATCTATCCCTGAGCATGAAGATATTTTCATATCATTGCCTTTTCTTTGTTTTTCGCCTTAATTTCTTTGCAAATCGCTTTGTTAGATCTCGCGCTCCAATGCCAGCCTCTTGTATAGCAATCAGCTCCAATTTGGATTTTCGCTCTTATCTCATGTTTTTTCCTACAGATTAGTAAAATTCACTTGTTTTCATCTTTTCTTAAGTAGGTAGGTCAAAGAGGATTCCGTAAAATTTCGAAAGTCAGGGGAGACTTCGTTTTCAGAAACCCTAGGAACGGACTCGCGCCGGGTCCTGCCCCGGTTTCCCCCTTACGCGTTCTAACATGTCTCCCACTTGGCGATGTTCCTGCAATTGTGGTGGCGGCTAAGCTGAGAAGGCAGAACTCGTCCGCGTTGCTTCCATTCAACAAGATTTTCGTACATCTTATGCAATTTTGAACTGATATGGAGTTAGAGAGAAGTTATGGAGTTAGAGAAGAACGAAACGGCTTGTAATATGCAAGAACCTATACAGCCAAATTCTGGTGAGACACTGCCCTTGAGTGTTCAACAAAAAGAAAATCTTACGGCTTCTTCCACATTTTACACAGTGTTGTTGTGGCACGGGTTCTCGTAATCCAGTTAGGTATTTTGCGGTAACTGCAGTTGCACACCTGCAATAGTTCGATCTAAACTTGAGCAAACTCAGGGCGAGCGAGTTTATTGGTTGGAGCTAATAATAAATTGGTAAAAGCACAAACACGAATATTTTCAGGAGCCAGCGTGAACTCAAATCAATACTACTCGGTACTTTTCAGATAGGAACAAATGTGTTGTCATCAGTAATGATGCTTCCAATTAACCCTGATTGTCGACTTTTGGCCATCAAAATTTTCATCGCTTGGTCGCCCCTTTTGTTTTATCATAGACAAGCTCAGCGCTGTTGAATCAGATGCAACTTTGGGATATTTTTGAACTTCCTCATTGCGAAAAAGGCGTTTGACCATCGGAGATGGTCAAACGCCTTTTTAGAAAATTAGAAAATCATATTACATCTGTGCCTTTGTTTAGTAAGTTCATGATAAAAATAGTAAAAACACCTGAGAATGGATAGACGACGTGAAATCGGCTAACGAGCTTCAAGATAGATATTCTACAAGTTGCGCCCCCTTCTGCTTACTCACCGTGGGGGATGTTTATGCAATTGACTTTCACGCCCGCATGCACGTACATCTCCGCTGGAGAGGGTAGGGCATCTGAGAGGGAACGCGTCATATTTGGCTGCTCCAAATGTCTTCTTCTTTTTTGTCTATTTTAAGTTTCTACACCTTGATACTGGAGTGTAGTGGATGGCAGAACATTGCCATACAAGCTGATATTTCCACTGTTTCGTGATCCTCTGTGGATCCTCAGGGGATCACACAAAACAGCGAAATTCTCAGCTTGTATGGCAATGTTTTCGTCTGTTTTACTCGTATATTAGAGCATGTGAACCTTCATAAAATAGATAAAGAACGAATAATATAAATAATTAGTGTAGCGCGATATAACGCATCCCCTCTCAAATCCCCCCCCCCCCTCCCCGCACGGGGATATACAGGGCTTATCAACTGAAGTGTCGGGTACACCAGCATCTCCACTCCCGCGCGAGACCCCGCACCTCTTCCGCGAACATTCTCTCTAATCACATCTAATCGATTGATGCTCCGCCTTTCCCACGCTCGCGGTGGGAAAGTGATCAGAGAGCATGTTCGCGAAAGAGGTGCAGAATTCCGCGCGGGAGTGGAGATGCTGGCGCACCCGACACTGCGGTCGGTAAGCTCTGTACAGCAGCATACGGTCCTTAGAGGCGATGCTAAGCAAATTGCAAGTTCGTCTTTCACCGTTGAGATGGTGGGTGCGTATAATAGTGGCTCATGAATCGGGTAGCATTCGAATCGAGAACGCATCGGAGCTGGATTGAATCAGAATTGATCAGAACACAGGAAGGGCAACGAGCAGTCACGACACGAAGCGAAAGCAGCACGCGTCGCATGTTATCGTGCTCACTTCGCCTGTAACCGCTTTGCATGCGCGCGACTTGCGATACCTACGCTGCTAGTATCCCAGACAGAACTGATCGAACATATTCGGTCCTGACGTTATCCGGGTCATGGGCAACTAGTCGCCACTTCAGAGTTGGTGGCCGATTTATAAAAGTAACCTTAGTTACGTTAGCGACAGTAAACGTAATGCCCTTCTGTCACGCTCGTACGGTTGCTCTTGATGACCTTCCAACAGATCTCACCCAGAAGTTCAGTGCTTTAGGCCAATGCAACCTAGTTAGCTATGCAATGCGCAATCCTCTGTTATCCTTTATGCGACAGTACAGCAAACCGAAGTACGATTGCTTTAGAGCCTAAATTATGGTCAACATGCAAAAAATTTCGTTCGCGATACGGTGGCGTTCTCACACGATTTGTACATCCACATCAAGGTGCAAATGAACAGGCAGGGCATGCAGTGAAACCATTTCAATCAACGTCATTGAGCAAATTTAGCAGGTTCTTAACACCAGCATTTTCGGATAGAGGAGTGGGAGCGGTCCGACGGAAATGCGTAGATGAACGTATTAAAGAAACTCACCAGTACCACGCCGTCGCTGAACAGCGTGAGCCTTAAAACGGAATCTCTGCTGCTCAGCTTCTTTCTATTTGTTGCGCAAATAAACTGCACTTCCACGGCATAAACCAGAACATGAGAAGCGTAGACAATTTCACTCTGTAAAATTTCTGTTTGTGGAAACAACACACGCGATGAACTTACAGGTATTCCTTCAACTTCTTGAAGTAGTCTGAGCTGAGAAATGAGTACGTCGTTTTCCAGCTTAACGTTATTAGAATGCCTAAAAATTCTATATTCAAAATTTCTTTGAAAACTCCTATTAGTACATCATGGCTTTTTAGAAACGATTGAAGGAAAGAATTTGCGGAATGTTATGTATGCACAGTCTTGTAAATCAAATAGAAATTCGATTATTCGAATAAAACATTCGAATATATTAGTATTCGAAACTCGATATTCGGAGCTCTTCCATTTTCGAGTAATATTCGAAACTCGAATATTTGAGAAAACGGGGTTTCCAATATAATTCGAAACTCGAATAATCAAAACACGAGGGTTCGAATATTATGCGAAAACTCGAATAATCAAGAAACGGGGTTTCGAATAGATTTTATTCGAATGTTTTATTCGAACGTTTATTCAAATTCGTATTCGAATGAATTCTGTATTCAGATTATTCGACTTTGTTGCAGAGCCAACCGCTGAGTATCAAGCTCACTTCGTCTGCGTTTTTTTTTGCAGAACTCGTTAATGCATCTTTTGCAACCGTACCTTTGAACTGTATGGCACGCGCCATACTTGATCCGCTTGATCCGCTTCGTCATTGGTTAATTCACTGAATTAACCAATGACGAAGCGGATCAAGCGGATCAAATAGATTGAGCGGATCAAGTATGGCGGATGCCTATGGTGAGTCGCATTCTCCCGACTGCTTGCGACAGTAAAAAAATCATATGTTGATTTTGATTGATTTTTCGATCAATGAGATTGTTCGCATTGCTATTGCCACCCAGTGAGTAAAGAAGCTATCAAATTCAAGCTCATGTTCCGAGGTCATATATTGAAAGTGTTTTGAAATGCCTGTTTTTCTTTCTTTGCATTGCTCATGCTTGTGGTACGCAAAGCTCACACTAGTCAGCACTCTTGCTCGCATAAGTTTTATTGCACAACTGCCTTTACTCGCTACTTAGAGATTTTTTGCCAATTGGTGTATTTTGAGTAAAGAACATCACAGTTGTAGTGGAGGATTAGACGGTTCAGATCGCCGTAAGCGATTTGCCAGTTACGAGATGTCTTAAATGTAACGCCAGCTTACCACAAATGTTTAGCGTGTACAACTTATTAGAAAGATAAATGCCCTGCATTCTGTATCTTGAAAAAGTTTTGGACAATATGACTATTGCCAAACCATGTCGCCACTGAAAAGCCTGCAATATGCCCGGGACTATAGGGCGATTCGTGCTCGCTTCGTGGAATATTCGAATTCGATTTCTGGAAATTCTTGAGCTACGAGGTTGGGAGTTGGTACAGGGGGGGGGGTACATGAGGATGCTGATTAAAACCGAAATCTATTTTTACGATTTCAGCGATTTTTAAAAAATTTGAGCTAGGATTTGGTATAGGGGATACAAGGGTGCTGATAATGAATGGATCTGCTTTAGCCAGATATGTCGTCAAGTTTGAGATTTGGTTGCTCTGGTTATTCGATAAATCATTCGAATATTCATTCGAATTTCGACTTCCAATGTTCGAATATATTCGATATCCATTCATTCGATATTTTTGATTTTCCGAATTTATTCGAATTTATTCATTCGAGAATTTTTGAACCTTGAATTTATTCAATATTCGTTTATTCGAGATTTTATATTTTCGAATTTAATCGATATTCATTCATTCGATGAAAGTTCTCGAATTACCGAAGTATAATGCACAGGCGAAACTTGATGTCAATTTAAGTCCAAAACTTAGAGGATATGCTTCGCTTTATCCAGTTTGTGTAAAGAGATAATTTTGTGCTATTTGATAAAACGCTGCAATGGCTTACGCATCGTTGCTTGTAAGCTTACACTGGTGACACATATTGGCGACATTTAACTTCTTTTTTCGCATTATCCTTACCCAAAAAATGACCAAGGTGTTTTTTATCCGAGATCTATTTGACAAACTATCATTTGCTGTCTTTTCAGATAATCAGAGCCAATTTTGCACAACGGCGACGATATGTCCGAGAGAGCAGGAAATTGGAAGCACACAACCGAAGCACTTTTGAAAGGCAATGCGCCATTGGATCTGCTGTGATACTCATGGATTTTGTTAGGAGACTACATGACAGGATATGTGTCGCTTCTTTTTGCTCCAATTAAATACACACAGAGGCAAGCACAAGACTCAACGCGCCAATTTGGTTACCTTCTCTCATTTACACTTTTTCTGGACATGGTCGGGAAGCACGGTACACACAAGATGTAGCATTGCATGCACCGTGCTAATATAGCGATACTAGCTTTTTGCTGACTCAGTTCTCTTCAAAAACGTGTTAGTTACAGTGATATAAGTTCTGAGCCGCCAGATTATTCCTCCCTGCTGCCATTGGATTCGTCTCAAGCGGAAATACAGAGTTCAGTGGCCGTATTCATCAACGAACCCTGAGGGTTAAACTAACCCTGAGGGTTAGTTTAACACTGGAAAGCGATTAACCCGTATTCATGAAACACAGGGTATGCTTAACCTTGAGGGTTAAACTACCCTTGAGGGTAAACCTTACCCCGAAAGCGATTAACCCGTATTCATCAACGAATCCTGAGGGTTAAACTAACCATGGAGGGTAAAACTTACGTAATTCATTAGGGTTAATTCAACCCTAGCTTAGAGCAAGGTCAACTCTACCCTAATACTTCCACAAACATTTACTCGCATTCAATGGTTTTATGGAAAACGATCAACGAGTATTGTAGTATTTAGTATTAGTTGTTGTTAGTATTTAGTTTCGACTTCGTTTTATGTTCAAATTCGAAGTACAAGGAACACTGACTTCGCAAGAAGAAGAATTCTAGCTTTGGTGACAAATGAATGCGACGAGGAAAAATGGTTGCGCATTTAATTCTGACAAGTGCCAAAACAGAAGAACCCCTTTATGATAACACGCATTAACCCCTAAAAGAGTAGCACAAGCCCGGTATAAAACGAACTGCGCAAAAGTAGAACTTACAAGGCACAATTGCACACATGAAAATAAACTCACGCTGTGAGATTGGATGCTGCATAAATACGTTAGAGATGTATTTTAAAAACTAGTGTTAGAAGCTTATTCGTTGATTATACTACTACAACAGTGAAAGAATAGAAGTATAAAGTGAATTTAGCACGTACTTAGGCATTCTGTGATATAAGTTTGCCCAGCGCACGCGTAACTGACGCCTTAACCTACAAGGTTAGTTTAACCCTCCTTAACCCTACAAGGTTAGTTTAACCCTCAGGGTTCGTTGATGAATACGGCCACAGGTTCGTTGATCGTTACGGGTGGATCGCGTTCCGTGGTAAACCCTACCCTATGGTTGAAGAATACGGCCAATGAACCGTGTGGGTTAAGCTTATCCTGGAGGGTAAGTTTAACCCTCAGGGTTCATTGGCCGTAACTAACCGACATTAACTTACCCTCCATGGTCAGTTTAACCCTCATAGTTCAATGATCAATACGGCCACAGGAGAATTTGTGCACCCTCCCCCCCCCCCCCCCAAATGTATCACCGTGTTGCAGAGGGTAGCCACTCGATGTGACAGCTGTTGTGACTGAATGCGACAAATGAGCAAACCAAGATGACGTGTTGCTGTTCCTCATATACGGGCAAACAGTCTTATAGTTCACAGCGTCCTGACGAAACGTCAGGCAATAAAGTTATCAGCATTAACAACCTGTATACGGCATAACAAAGTAACTGGAATTGCCCACACAAACAGGAGACTTACTTTAGAACATTTCCAACAGTTTCGATAGCGTTTTTGAGCTCTACTTCTTTACCACTTGACTTCTTGTGCAATTCTGAACAGATACAAGATTTTCTTTACAGTCGAATATAGAAAATGCCCAATTTTATTTGCAAAGCTGTGTATGAATTTATCAGTATTGGTCCTCCCCGACACTTCGGTCAGTCTCAGAGGCCTCAAAATGGCCAAAAGACATCGTTTTGCGATTCCCGCACACCTGCTGTTGTAGTCTCTAATCACTTCGTCAAACCTTCTTCTAGCTGTGCGTGTGAGGGTCAAACTGATATAGTCATTGCTATTACTGCTATAATTGGTCGTCTGCACGTCTAGAGTGAAAGAAGTCAGCGCAAAGCCAGCACTATAGCAGAACACTATCTGCGCGTGGCTAAATCTTCAGCAAGAAGTCTTCATTTCAGCAACCAATGCGCTAATGAGCAATGATGCAGCAATCTCTGGGTGCGCTCATGGAATATTTTCGGGCCCATGAGATCTGTCAGTAAGCGCTCAACACCTATTCAGCAAGGAACGAAGAAAAACCGCAAGTGTCATTTTTTGTGAATTTCGAAATTTTTGGTGTGAAAGGCATTGCAGTATCACATAGTCACCTTCATACATTCTTTTTCTTAGCAAGAAGTTCTAGATAAATGTTGTCTTAGGTGTTTGGGGTCAGAGCTATGCACATTTGCAACTTATGTTTTAGCGTTACTATCCAAGCAAATACTTTCCGGTTGTCTGCGTTTAGAGTTCCAGTAGCATCTTCTTCTGGACTATCAATCTGTATGTATCTACCCTTTGCTCTTCAACGAGATTGGCTGCAGGAAGGCTGGGCCTCACGACTCAGGAGGCGACTGGCCGCATCGGCGACGCAGTCTGCGACTCCCTCGCGAACATGCACTCCGTTCACTTTTAGCCTTAATTGGGTCGCAGAGCCCCTTCTTTTAGCCGCCGATCTGGTTGAGCTTTCTATTTTCGAGTACCAAACTTTGGATAGGAAATCTGTCGATTGCTCCTCCCTTGCTTTATTGGTTTGAAACATTCGAAAAGAAGGTTACGTTATAAGGGCAAAGCTAACGCTGCTACAAAGTGTAGAATAGGTCTGCTTCTCTATAATGTCAACTGTAGAAATCCACTTCAAAATGGAAGATCGTTGCGGTAAAAAATTGGCGAGGATCGAAAAATGCTAGTGTGCAGATGCAGTTAAAAAGGAAAGTTAAGCTGAGCTAGTTTTTCAAGTGGCATTCCTTCGCCCTAAGAAGCGATAGGGTATCATTCTTGGCAGCGTAAGAAATGAACTGAACATAGCTTGAAATATGGACCTCTAAATTTGGCGTAATTCTGAGCATTTTAGGGCTTTTTAGATTTTCTTTGTTGCACAACGTTCAACTTTTATTCAATGAGACATGCTGCGTTGCTCACCTATCGAGTAACAACAGAAAGTATGGAATATCTGCTAGAAGAAAAGCTGAGCATTACAAAAAACCCGTGGCTGTGTCGCTAATAAGGAATACGGTTTAATTCAAGCCTTTTGAGGAAACAAAATTTCAACTAAAATTTTGTTATGTACCTATTATATAGGTTGCACCAACGAAGGTCATAGGTAGCACACTGATTAGCAAAGTGTCACTGCTGGTTTAGTTACCTGAGTTCGAGGTACTTTCTCCCATTGATAAATAACCATGGGTCAAACGCTTTTTAATAAAACATCGCGTGGCTCCAATTCTGCAAAGCTCGCGATCTGCGAGCAAATGTGCGAGCATACAGTTACGAACCACGATTGTTCTATAAAAAATTGGCAATTACGTTCAAGCTTGTCCAAATAGCTAACATTTTTCTAAACATCCTCAAGCAACGCAAAAATCAGCATCCTATCTCTCCGCTGTCCGCTTGTCAACAAAACGCATGGCCGCTATTCCCGGCGATTACCTGAGTAGCTGCTAACAGCTACTACAACTTGCGTCGCTGTGTTTACAGCCGGAATTCGATAATCGTAGTCGGGCAAATTATCGTGACTTATTATTAGAGATTTTTGATTTCGGGACATCTAAAAGAAAAATCGAAAGGATCCGAGAATGAGTAAAGAATGTCTGTCTAGAGCACAACGTCCTGCCGCACCCTCCACTATATTATATTAGGGTGAACCGCAAAAAATGGGACAGCCTGATTTTTATTACATTTTGGGATTTTTTGTTTCGGTCAACAGCAAGTAGGCTGCAAGTTGAACGTCGGCTAAATGAGCGGCTTTCGCCTATCATTCTGGTAACGCACTACCGCTTCTCTCTCAAGAATTGTGCGTGGCCCGTGAAGAACTCGAACAGGGTTTTTTGAACATTGCTATTCACGCACTGTAGCGTAAAGTTATAAAGCAAATGACAAGCAGTTCGAAAGAGCTTTTCGTGACTTTTTCCTATCAAAATATGCAAGCTGTTTCATTTCTCTTACTTTAGTCCGACTAGGACTTAGACAGACTCGGATCGACATGATGATGTCTGCATTCGTTTATGTTTCTTGTTCATTCCGCTGTATTACTAACTTCCGGTGCGTTTTTTTTGTTTTTTGTTTTGGAACGCCTTGAGCGTAGAAATGAAATGAAATGAAATGAAATCTTTTAAACAGTACATTCAATGCAGAGGATTCCTTATTTTTTCTGAATAAAAAAAGCAAAATGCGACGGAAGTGTGACCATCTACATCCGGTGCGGATATTTAACAAAGCGATGGTTCCTTAGTATGTCTTTTGTCTTCACAATTTCTGTAGCACTAAATTGGGGGAGTGCCGAAAACTGGCGAGAATTGTGGAGAAGTTTGGTGGCTGCAGTCGCGGATAAAGTTTCGAACCATTCCAGGCTTCTGATGAAGAAAGCCTCGAAAAGTAAGGCCGCAGACTACTAACGAATAAAGGACCGCCTGATAACCTGCACGGCACAACAGTATTTAACACTTACCCCGGGTTTAATGATTACGGGACATGAAAACTACTGGTAAGCAAAATTAATTAAGATGTAGGTCAAGACGGTCATGTGCAAAGTTTGCTGAAAATAAATAAAATTGGGAAGCATTTGTGGTCTAGAATTTCAATTTTCTAGAGGTTTCACTGAAAATCCCAAGCCACATACAAAGCGCAAAGCACTTTTTTGATGTTAGCCGATGTAAAGCCTCATTCAATTTGCTAGTTTTCACCAAAAGTTTCCAAAGAAAGTCAAATATGTGACAACCACTGACTTTTGTACAAATGAAAGCTACATATTAGGTTGTCTCGAAAGTTTTATCCATTTTTTTTCGTCGCGCAATAAAACTCACAAAACACAGACGAGGTAACATATGATTCTGATTGTTATCCTCTCTCTTGCAGTTATATCTGCTCTCTGATCTACCCTGTCTTTACAATGTTATCGCCATGGCTTTTTGAGCAGCCCAGCAGTAACGCCAATTTTTCCTAAATTTAAAAATTTTTTATACTGATGTTTTCAAAGAGCGCTGGTTACTCTTATGTAGAGCAAACCCTTAGCTACATTGTGCCCATTTTGGATTATATGGGTCACATTTAAAGGTCCGTTATAATTGTTTATTTGATAAAAACAGTGGCTTTTTGATTAAGTTTATCAAGCAAAAAAACGAAACTTCCAATACTGCTTTTCAAAGCAAATCAAGCTTGATTATGTTGCATAAACAATTTTTAATAAAAATGATGTTTTAATTTGCAGAAACTTTGAAAGCTTTCGTGTATTTGCTGCAATTAGTGTTTCATGACTTTGCCAAAAATTGAGGCCTCCGAAGAAATAATTTTTTGTGGCTAAAAACAGCAGATTAGGAGAACCTAAAATTAATACCTTGTAGTCCAAAAATTGCTTGATTTGATCCATACCTAATCCTTTCCGAAACTTTGAAATGAAATTTCTAGAAACTGGCCTAACTTTGAGCAGACAAGATTGACGGGTGGAAAATTTTGCCAATTATTAATAAAAGCGTACAAGATTGTGGTTCGAAAATGCATCCAAAACCGACTCGGTAAACAAGTTGAATTTGCAACGGCGAACCTCTGCGAAGCAGGGTGACATTTGACGTCACTGTAAGCAAAGCATATGTTTGTCAAAGGCCTGCTAAACAGAAAGCAGCGAGACATAGGCCATAGCTTCCATTGAGTTTGCAGACTGCATGTTGCATCATCCTAGTAGCAAACATTCTCCTTCTCCTTTCTAGGTTGCAACTATGAAAGTTGGAAGCGTAAGCATTCTCATAGCTTTATAGTTTACAGTCAGCAGCTATCGTTTGCTGAACAGCGGTTCCCATAGCATCAATAACACAACTAATTCTCTACTTTTCTCTTATCAACACGTTCACTTAGTGTGAGGCTCAGCTTTGCTAAAGAAAGTGTTAAAAGGAACGAAAGAAGCGAGCTGAGCACGTAAGGGGTGGCGCCTTAAAGAACCTGACTGAACCGTGCAGTGAATTGGAAGCGTACGAACGTGAAGCATTTCCGATTCAGGATGTTATAAAACTGGCAATGACTGTGAATAAAATTACTTTCAAGGAGGAGTTTGACGCCAGCAAGACGTTGGACCGGAAACGTCATTATGTCAACGGCTCGCTGCCTACGAAATTCAGGCGACTTCTCTTGTTCCTGAAAAAAATCTTAGTAGAACAAGATTTAAAATGTGTAATCATTCCTATGACTAATTAGCGATCCTACAACTGTAGCACAGATTTGAACAATTGCCGACCTTACAGTAACTAAACCAAGGATGCTACAGCACAAGTGCTGTGAGCTACTTAGTGTTTTACCGTACGGTTTCACATTTTGTAGCAGAGAAATGAGAGCAATCACTTTCAAAATCACCAAATAAAGCAGCGAGCAACGGATTGTTAATCAATTACAATTAGACGAAAATGAAATGCTACCTTTACAAGTGCTCGTAGTCGTGGATACTGTTCGCATGCATCGATCAAGTCTTTTCTCGCTTCATCACAAAAGTTGAGATAAGTCGGATATATCCGCAGTAGTTCGCTGTTGGCATTAATCCATATCTAAAAGACGGTGAAGCCCCTATCTATGTTATATACATGCGACAAACATTTACAGCTATCTGGAGACCGAGCTTTAGAACATATTGAGATTTTGATGTGGTATGTTGCTTAGCTCTTATATACGAAAATAGAAGGTCCAGTCACACAATATGTCCCAGTTGACTTGTAGTTCTTGCGCGCGGGCCAGTATCGTACGTGCTCGATGAGTTCGCAATTTCCTTCGCACCATTGGAGACGCATGCCGCAATTACAACGATAACGATCCCGCAACAACTTTGCGTTTTTAACGGCTGGAACTTTTCATTTGTCCGAATCAGTGAAAGGCCTCAAGCCTCAAACTATCTTTTTCGCCATTTTCCTTTCTCAACTGACTCTTCGGAATCAGAGCATCCGCTCATCTCAAGGAAGCAAGGGAAGCAAGAATCTTTCAGGTCAGAATTTCCCGAGCCACTTGCCTCTTAAGAGGTAGGTTTTGTTAGATAGTGTTTTACTGAGGAAAAGAGTAATCTCCGCAAGGACGTCAGGGCATGCTCTCTTTCTCTCAGTTTTGGGATTGCGTGACTAGCATGATAATGAGTGTACTAATTCCAAGGAATGTTCACATTCAACGAAAACACAAATGATGTTTTTGATAAACTAATTAATGAGGCATGGCGCTGTATATCTGCCAGCTTTCGACTTTTCATTGCTCACAGCTTTTGAAGAAACTTTAGTTGTTTTTTAGCTGTTCAAAAATACTTATTCGTGTCTACTTTGAATATGCGCATTTCTCTAGATCAGTACACTCAATATCATATTAGTCGTGCACTCCTAGAGTTGATTAAAGCACATTGTGCATTAAAACCCCAATGACTTCACATTTTTAACCGCTACACTTATTCCACATAACTGCATCGCAGATATTGAAGGCAGATTTGGAATCAGTTCATCAAGACGCATCTAATGATATGCGGTTAATATCCATTTGCCCCTTTAAGTTGTGATCGTTCCCTTGTTAGTTCTCCCACTCTTACAGGAAAGAAATTTACTTTCATGCAGCACCTGTTTTAAGTTTTGTTTATAATATTATAAAAAGCAAACCGAAACAGTAAGCAAAATACGAGAAAAATATTTACTGTTTGGTGTGCACTCTGCGGCTTTTTCTTGCTTCCGCGATATTAGTGAGCGAAACTTTTGGTTGAGAGGTAGTCTCAGCCACAATGAAGTTCAAGGGTAATTCTTTTCGTCTGCGTATTTAGTCTACAAGGCACGAAGTTTAGGAGCATACTGTAGGGATAAAAACTTTCGTGTATATAGTGCAATGATTTCGCCAGATGCAAGGTTATCCAACAATGTTAGTGTTCAGAGAAAAAGAGCATTTAACCGATTCAGTAGACTTGCCCGAATTTTTTCAGGTGGATAATTTGAATGGATAATCGGGATGTAGAACATAAAAATAAATAAAGCGATTCTATTTTATAGTTCCGTGTGTTCCTGATTTTGATTTGCTACAGAGAAGCTTTTGAGATATGTTCCAAAACATAATAGCTTGAACGGAATCCTAGGTGGAGTTCTTGGAAGTATGAAAGTAAAAATGTGGTGTAAATTCTGCAAAGCTTTTGAACACCATGTCTGAAAATAATTCATAGGGAGACATCAGATGTCCATCAACAAAAATTGATATCTGTATCTAATTTCAATAGCTGATCAAGTAATTTTCAAGAGAATTTCTCAAGCGGAGATCAGTTAATTTATAATTGATCTAACTAGCTCCAGCAAGCAAATTTTGAAACAATTTCTTTAAAAGCGAAGCACAGATCCTCTGAACTGAAAAGGAAATGTCATTGCATGGACGGAAGGATCACAAAAAAACATAAACAAAAAACATAAGCAGTCACGGATACATACAAAAGTACCTTTGCAACATCGCACTTCTCATCGTTCCAGTTTTCAATAAGATCAGCTAATTCATGACAGATCTTTTCATGAAGATCAACAATTGGTTGTATTTTTCCGAATATGTGTTTTATTCTGGTCTTGTCAACATTGACTTTATCCTTGTCAATTTTTTCAAGTAGTACATCTTCTAACTGCAGAACAAATAGTTGGTGAAAATATTTGAAATTTGATTGTCACCTTCAGTAAAAGTTTGAGATTATTGATGTAATGTCTTTCGGTACTGTATAACTCCTGACAAATTTGGAATTTTTCATCAGTTGCCCCTTCAGCAAGAACCGTTTCCAGAAATTGATCTGCAAAAACTTGCCAAAACCGATCTTTGAAGGTGACTTACCATCTGCTTTTATATCTCCATTTTCATCTATCCTAGTGCCGATCACGCTGGTGTAATTCTTACAAACATTTTTAGCATACGGTTGGCACAATGTTCGTGTTACGTACATTTCTTGTATCTGCAAACAATAAGGACCCCGTTCTCTGTGTTGACTCAGATGAGGCTAACATGGCGCTAAATTGATAAATCGACCGCTCAACAGCGCACGAGCTCTACCAACCCGCTTACAACTCGGGTCAGCAAATTATATTACAGACTAGCTGGCTTAGCCGGCTCCGCCCGTCCCTGCAAAACACTATATTAAATGTTACTATCCGTATTACAACCTTTTCCCTGTGCCAACTTCTATTTGCTAATTTCCTATCGCCGCTTTGTTTCCTAATCAACACGCCTCCCCACTCACCCCCTGTGACTCCCGGCCCCGAAGATCAACTTAAAGAAAAATCGATAAAAGATGCAGACAGTTCTGAAAACTATTATTGTATTCGTAATCGGCAGGCTCACTTACCTCTCCCCCCCCCTGTGCCAATTCCCAGTCCGCAGGTCAAATTTCGCAAAAAATCGATAAAAATCGGTGATATCGACGAAAGTAACAAACTACTCAAATAATAATATTGTATTCGTAATCAGCATGCCCGATTACCTTTTGCGCCGACTCCCAGCCTTGCAGGTCAAACTTCACAAAAAATCGATAGAAATCGATAAAATCGATACCATTCGATGACAAAAAATAGCCTAAGCCTATGACAACCGCCCCGCCCCGAAGTGTAAGGTGCCAAGTTTGATCCTAATCGGTTCAGAAATATTATTCCGAACGTACAGACAGACACACAGACATATAAACAAACATTCAGCTTTATACATAAGAGATATGAATATATGTGTTAAGTAAGTGGAGTAAGTTCTAAAGTCATCGTTATGCAAGCACGTTATCATCTCTATATATATATAAAACTCAATCTCTGTAAATTTGTTCGTATGTAAGTATGTGGCTTATAGACTCCTTTGTTTGTGAATCGATGAGGCTGAAATTTGCTCCCTTATAAATGAGGCCAGGCGCAGAAGATAGGCTACTTTTTGCGACGATTCACTGGGTCCTTCTATCGATTTTGATTTGTTTACTAACATTTAGGAAAATGAAAGCTATATCATTCATTTTTTTTTCCAAGTTAAGTAGTAAGGGGCGGTAGAGATCATTTACATTTTGCGGTGAGGAGAATGCGGTGTCACGAAGCAAGCCGGTCAAGAAGGACAAATTCACCACGGATACTACACCGTGTGCTGAAAATGACTTGGAGCTGAAGCAGGAGAGGAAGAAAAAATATGATTTGAAGGAAGTGGAGGAATGATAAGCGAACATCTTGAAACAAACGGGCCATTTTAGACTCTTGGCCTGGGCGGGACCGGGAACCGCAGCTAGTAACTTATAATAATGGGCTAAGGGTTGTTTACGTTTGTCTGTCTGTCTGTCTGTCTGTCTGTGTGTGAATCTCTGTCTGTCAAATTCGTGGAAGGAATTCCAGCAGACGTCTTGAGCTAGAATTTTGGTAGTAGCACCCTATCAGCATGTAGGTAACCTGTGCAAAAGGACAAACCGATCCAATGTGTGGAACCTGCGAAAGCTGAGCGACAAACGGATCCACGCGACTTTTGGCGCGCCAAAGTGTGGCTGTATTTAAGTTTTTTTCAAAGTCGTGGATTTGTTTGAAAGTAAATCCACAAACCATGGACTCCGGCTCGAAAATTGGGCAAAAAATCTGCTTTTACGCAAGATGGCGCCAAAAAGGAATAATTGCGTAGACATTCGATTTGTCAAGGTTTTACCCAAGAATCAGAGAAGGTTTTCGTTCAGAGATGTAACTCACGGTTGTCATCATCCTTCTGGCGACTATTAAGCCATTACAAGTCCAGTAATTGATTCAAACACGCATTTGATCTTTTGGAGAGAACTTTCTTCCTCTCGCAGTCACCGATCATAGACGAAAAAGCTTTTAGAATGAGTAGTTGTTTACAATTTATTTGTGATGATCGGCATCGCATGGTAACTTTCAAAATGAAATCGCGACTACGAGGAGGGAAGGATGTGGATAGTAGAACCAGTACGAGCCTCTGCGAAGCAGAGGTGAGCACTGGTAGGCATATAAGTAGTAAAACAAGTGCGAGTCTCTGTGCAGTGCAAAGCAGAGGTGACGCACTGTGTATGTAAATAACGCGGTGATTTTATCAGCAAGTCTATGAAAAGCGTTTTCAGTGTACTGGCTTATGTTGAAAATGCAATAGACGTTGAGGTGAGATGTGTTAAGGCAAGCTTTTGGACTGCAGTCTGCAGCAGTGCGGTCGTATTGGTGCGGGCAATAAATACCAACCTGTAGACAGTTCTTGCTTTAGCGATTGCAATCTGAGGCCCCAGGCATGAGGACAATAGAACGTAAAGGATGGCGTCTTGAATTGTTCCTGCCGGCATGCGCCGAGAGCATCTACTTCATGGTCGAAAGGGCTGTTGAACGCGTTTAGACCTATTACAGTGAGCTGAGAAGCCAGTCGATTATAAACTCAGAACTTTTTCCTTCCAGATTACTCTGGTACCGATTTACCATTTACAAAAGGTGGAAGGCCTGGATGGCTTGAAAGCGGGTCTAAATGGTTTTAGGGGGGTCGACCGCCGGTATCGAAACATATGTGTGCAAAGCTTCAGCTGAATCGGTTCAGCTGCAAGCGTTTTCAAAAGGAAGGAACAACCAATTGAACACAACAAAGTTTGAGCTTTATTTGGTTGTCTCATAAGTTTTTGCAACTTGTCTCTTTACCGCAATAAGCGAACACTTCTCGATTCTAATCAGGATGCAGGGTACCACTCGATAGAGCAAAGCGAGCTCTATGAGATGGCGTAAATGCTCACGCCTGCTTCAGCACACACGAGCTAGAAGCCGAAATCTGGAAATTTTCGGATGCCCGAAAATTGGAAAATCTTTCATATTTCTGCCCAAAGGTAACTTACCAGGTCTCAAACTTGCTTAAAAATTTACACTCCACATATGACATCCATATATGCCGTTGCCTGTGTTTGGTTCTGTGCTAGAAACCGAGGAAACCAAATTCTCAAGTTTCCAAGAAACCTACGCTCGCTGTTCTCACACGAGTAAGTGTGTAACACAAGACTTCAAAAGTAAGATCACACATTGTTGCCTTTTTATAAGCTATAGCTGGCTTACCCGGCTCCGCCCGGCCCTGTCAAAACATTATGAAGCTCTCATCCCTATTCCAGTACAACCTTTCCCTGTGCCTAAGCCTACATGCCAGTTCACTGTCAGGGCCTGGCACGAGTCGGTTTCTAGGGTTTCTGAAAACGAAGTCTCCCCTGACTTTGGGAAGTTTTACGAAGTCCCCTTTGACCTACCTGCTTAGGAGAAGATGAAAACAAGAAAGATTTACCAGTAAGAAAAGACGTAAGATAAGAGTGAAAATCCAAATTGGAGCTGAATACTACGCATGCACAAGACTCTGGCATTAGAGCGCGATATTTAACAAAGGAGAAGAAATGAAGGCAAAAAACAAAGGAAAGACAATGATATGAAAATGTCTTCATGCTCAGGGATAGATTTTTGACCGGAGAATCCGTCCATGCTAAAAAGATTCGAAACTTATGTGAAGTGACGAAAATATATGCTCCAGACGATCTCAGATCGTCTGGTGGCCGTCTGGAGGCGATCTAATTTTGGAAAAGGTATTACTTCACATAAGTTTTCAAATCTTTTTACATATTACCTTCGCAAATAATTTTCTGTACATGCAGTTCAATTTTGGTGTCATATGCTTTTGTGTACGCCATAAACAAGCAATTTGTTTATTTAAGCCTTGCTTTCAAATCGCGCGCACTTTTTCGCCATGCGCGATAGAGCATGTCAGTCGAGTGATAGCCTGCCCGAAAAGCTTGTGTTCGACTAAATGGCGCTTATTCTTGGTGCTCGGCTCCGACTTGTCAAAAAACGATATCCCCTTTGCTGTTTGCTTCAAAAACAAAATCCAGCCTGCTTCCAGACGATCTGTGCCGGACCCTGTTCACTGTTCCCCGCTGTTCCCCAGTAAACAGCATGCTCGATTACCCCCCTGTGTTAACTCCCAGCCCTAGCTCAAACTTTGCAAAAAATTGATAAAATCGATAAAATCGATATCGGTGGATGACGAAAAGTAGCCTATGACTCCCGCCCTGCCCCGAGGTGTATGTGTGCCAAGTTTGGTCAGGATCGGTTCGGAAAGGGAATTTTCTATTCAGAACATACAGACAGACACTCAGACAGACAGACAAACATTTGCAGACAAACAGACACTCAGCTTTATATATAAGATAGTTCCTAAGAAAAATTGATCTCAAAATAAAATATTAGGTCGTTCCACAAGTTCGTAGCGTTTTCGTTCTCGCCCTCATACCTTTGAGGAGCGGTTGATTTGCGGCAAGATGCTTATATTATATGGAAGCGCTGATTGTGCACTTCAGTATACGTCTACTGATTCCGGTGGAAAGCTGATTCACTCCCATCTCACAGCTTCCAAAAATGGAAATCTTAAAAGACGAAAACGAGAATTTCGGCATTTGCGCATCTTTTTTTTTATGAAAAAAGCGTTTTTGCACAGATTCTTCTGTCGATTATGAAACATGGCGCTCGCACATCAATACGTAACAAAAAAGAATCGGATTGCTACAAAAGATCTGAGGCTGAAAAGGGTGTGCCTGAACAAGACCTTTTAGAGGACGGGCAGGAGTCCTGCACTGAAGATTACTGTAGAAGTAGGCGATGGTCAGCCATACAGTAAGCAATCCAACTGCACTAGACCAGGTTCCACCGCAGTAAAAGCCTAGCAGACAGCTTTTCTGCATGACGAAACATGGCCTCATACGGCAAACGTCGTCAAAACTGTCCTGCACGCCTCTATCAGAATATCATTTGCTCCGCTCTTTCACAAACCTCATGAATGGTGCATGTCTCGATTTCAGTAATTAGACTGAGCGCTGGTCAGATAACTTTCTTGGGACCCGGCATGTTGCCGTAAAAATTGAGTTGAGAAGCTGACAAGAATGTGCCGAAAATATGATTTTGATTGCTTTCCACAGTAAACTGGTGATTTTGGTGGTTCATAAAAACGCTACGAATTTATGGAACGACCTAATACCTTAGCAAAAAGCTGATTTGAGTTACTTCTCAAGAATTAGCACTTTAAGAAGGTGAAAACTTACCGATATCTTTGAAGGCTCAAAGTATACATTACCTAAGTGAGAACAGCACAGGATCGCTTTTTGAAACCTCAAAAACTTTAGTTAGTTCCGTTTTCTCCGTTTTTAGCAAAAAAAAAACACGGCAGCGACGCACTTGAATGTCGTATGAGGAGCATATATGAGGGAGCAAGCATGGGATCCGGTAAGTTTTCTTTGAACAAAGATGTGAAAAAATTTTAAGTTTTAAAACATCCGAAACTTCTCAGATTTTGGCTTCTAGCTCATGTGTGCTGAAGCTGGTGTGAACATTTACATGCCATCTCATAGAGTTTGTTCTGCTCTATCGAATGGTACCCTGCTTTCCGATCAGATTTGAGAAGTGTGTGACTCATTGCAGTAAAATACAAAGTTGAAAAAACCTACGAGACAACGCAATACACCGGGTGTCCCAAAAAATGTAAACACTGTCTGATCGTTAATAATTCTCTTGCTTTCATGTCTTTCGTCGAGTTTGGAGTATCATTCTGTAGAGCGATGTTTCTTAGTTTACAGTATAGAACAAATCATCAATCCCGCTTTATTATCGTAAATTACGGTATAAACTTTGAGAAGGATTTTAGGAAAGTTTAAAGGCAGTGTCCGGGCAAAGACTCGATTTTGAGATTTTGTGCTTACCCGGGCCTATTCGCTACGCTGAATCTGAAAATCCACACTGGAAAGCGCAAAAACGGCGAAAAACGGCTCTAACGCGGGAGAGAAATCAAAAGTGGGCGGGGTCTTCCCCAGGGTGAATTCATGGTCCCAGCTCCCGGAGCGATCTTTTCGCTTACGACTTCAGATCATGCATTCGCACTTGGACCGTTGAGATGTCAGGGCGGTTAGTGGAATTGAAAAGATCGCTCCGAAAGCTGGGACCGTGAATTCACCATGGGGAAGACCCCCCCCCACTTTTAATTTCACTCCTGCGTTAGAGCCGTTTTTCGCCGTTTTCGCGCTTTCCAATGTGGATATTCGGATTCAGAATAGGGAATAGGCTCGGGTAAGCACAAAATCTCAAAATCGACTTTTTGCCCGGACACTGCCTTTAAGCGATTTTTGCCTCAGAAAGAAAACCAAACAAGCCAATTCTTGTACTGGACTAATCGAAGTGGCTTGTTCTAACTATGAAATCTTCAATTTACTGCTATGCTTCTTTGATAAGTTATCTCCATTAGGATAACATCTGTACTTCCAATGTTCGTCAGCAACGTGATTACATCATTCAACGAGCTCAAAAAAAACTAGTAAAAAGTAGTGTACTGGAATCGGCATGCCCGAAAACCTTACTACACAGATTTTCAGATTTTTTTGAATTTATTCCAAAGCTGCCTCGTAAATTTTTCGTTTCACTCTAAATTGCGGAAATGAGGAAATTTGCCGTCTTGTACGTCACTTCAATACTTTGCGAAGAAAGAAAAGCTAAGAACATGATTCGGCTTTGTCACATTATAATTTAATATTCTAACATAAGCAACTGATATCACGCAAACTGCAAAAAAATCAATAAATCGATTAGAGCAATGAGTGCGTCCCGAACAAAACGGCCTTATTAGCACGCCCAACCCTGTGCATTATGTGTGCCAAATTTGGTTAATCGATCACTTCTTCTATCCTTTTTGGGCGAACATGGAAATTCTTCTAAGCAAAATTAAAAATCAATAAATCGGCAAGGGCAATCTGTGTGTCCTCCACAGAATGACGCACTAACGCAAGCCCCATCTTTAAGCAAACATAAAAGATTTTTGAGCAAAAACTGCAAAGAATCAATAAATCGATATAGGCAATCGTTAGATTCTAAACAAAGTGACTTATTAACACAAGCCCTATCACATATACTATGTCTGCCAGTTCAATTAAATTCCATGACTCCTTCTATCATTTAACCAAAGAACAAAAGTGGCTGAACCAAATATAAAGCATTGATACAAATAACTTTCGTACTTCGATAAAATGGGGGGAGACGGTCTTTTCGCACGGGCGGTCTCCAGCGCTACCCTAATTTTAACTTGTCTTAACCCGTCACGCATGCCGCAAATCTTTCTTCCCCCTGCTTTGCTTAGGCAAAAGCCTAAGCAGAGTAGCGTCGCGCGTGATACCGGTCCTGTGTGGAAAGCAGACGGTCGTGCGAATCGTCCTATATCCATAAAATGGCCTGTTTGGTGTGAAGCTTACGATGAGTATTTAGTTAGTCTAGAAACCTTCGTGTGTGGAACCCTTCAGCGCCATAGTTTGCACGCATGCTTTCGACACCGCCGGTTCACCTCGTGGGTTAGTTTCGGCGGCGACCCTATTCCTTCCTTTTATTGATATTTAAGAAAAATGAAGTCTTATAAGTGTTATTAAGGGATCGGTCAGAGTTTGCCAGTGTTGCCTGTGTTGAAAGTGTTGCCGATGTTGAAAGTGTTGCCAGTGTTGAAAGTGTTAAAAGTGTTGCCGGTGTTGAAAGTGTTGAAATTGTTGCCGGTGTTGAAAGTGTTGGATGTGGAAATCATAAGTCTTGCAGTTTCATTCCTTATCGAACGATCTCACCGGCTGGTGAGTACGTGTGGAATGGAAATGGGAAATGAGACTGAAATGAAATAGGAAATGTTTTCGCAAAAAGTTTCTCATACGAACTTTTTGGAAAGTGAAGGACTTGTTTGAAAGAGGCAATCTCCAATATTTGAGAACGCTGCAAGACCTCCCATGTTTCTTTTGCTCACGCAGAACGCTGTATTCGACACTAACACGCATTCTCATCAGACTTTAGCAGCCTCCTCAAATGTTCGAGATTGCCTATTCAAAACAGATCCTCTAGTTTCCATAAATTTTTTTATGAGTATCTTTTGCATGCGAAAGCACTTCCCATTTTATTCACTTTCATTTCTGAATTCCCATTTCCATTCCAAAGTATCACCAGCCGATGAGATCGCTCGAAGGGGAATGAATTGCAAGACTTTTTCCACGTTTTCCACATCCAACGCTTTCAACACCGGCAACACTTTCGACACTTTCAGCACCCAACACTTTCAATACTTTCAACACCGGCAACACTTTCAACACTTTCAACACTTTCAACACCGGCAACACTTTCAACACAGGCAACACTGGCAAACTCTGACCGATCCCTAAACCACTCCCAACTTCCTATAAACAATAGCGGTAGAATTCATTTCCACTGCAGAATGCAAAAAGCGGTTATTCACGGCGATGCATACAGCAGACTTCTGCCCTGTGTTATACGAGAACCGAAGGACGTCAAAACGCCGCTATGGTGAGCCTTTGGATTAGGCACCAAGTCTGCTCTTTGTTAGGCCATTTAACCCGCGGTACAGGCGAAGATGGGCAAATCAGCTGGTATTAAATTACTGTCAATCGCGCGGCGACTAGTAAGATCGCGTAAAGCCTCGGGCAGAGTTCACACGATTTCATTGCCGCGATTTCCCCAACAGGACAAACAGTTACGAGTCCATTGCATTCCGATCATATTGCATTAGGTCTCGGACTGAACTCACGCGATTTAATCGTCGCGATTCAATCGCGCGATTTCCATCCATTTCCATTTTACATTCAAAAAATTCGGGCTGGAAAAGTATCACAACCGAAATGTAAACTGGTCGGTGGGCAATGAGCTCGTAGCAGTTGTCTTGTCGCCATTGAATCGCGACGATCAAATCGCGTGTACTCTGCCCAAGGCCTTACGGTTGTGACTGGTAGTGTCGGAGAACTATCACAACCGAAATGCAAGGTGATCGCATGCAATGGAGTTACAACTGTTTGTCTTGTTGGTAATCGCGGCGATGAAATCGCGTGAGCTCTGCCTGAGGCTTGTGGCCCGAAACAACTTTGAGGCGGCTGTGTTGTCAGCGTTTAATTATTGTATATCATATTTTTGTCCGTTAGATCACTTGAGAAACCAAGGCTCTGAGTTTTTCCAACATAATCAAGCAAACACGTTTTAATCGAACAGTTCTTGTTCCTTGTGATAAATGTGAGGAAAAGATCTTACAAGGGAACAATCTCAAACCGCAGTGGCGAACTGAAATGAGTGCAATCGTTCGATGCGTCTTGATGAGTTGATTCCAAATCTTCTTCTTTATGTGCTGCGGGATTCACTGAGAGAAGTTATGGGCGTTGAAGCTGTGAAGACATCAGTATTTCAATGTATAATGTTCACTAAAATCCGGCTTGCGAGTGCATAATTGACACACGGTGTTGAGAGTGCTGAGTGCAAGAAGTGCACACTTTAACCAGAAACATAAAAGTGCATTTGAACAACTAATTCTGAAATGCCACTGAAAGCCTGCCATATCTGTACTAAACACTCACAACACTCCTAAATGATCTCGCGGCATATAAGGAAGTTAAATTTGGATTAAGGCTCAACAAACGCATCTATTGACATGCATTTCGTTCCAGATCGCCACTGCAATTTGGAATCCTTCCCTAGTTAGAGGAGCGCACTTTGTATAACAAAAGAAGCTTTGTATAACAACAACAGCACTCACTTCTTTCAAATTGTGTCCGCAAGAGACAGGAATTTTCGGAAATAGAAACTGTCGACTTTAATTGGCGTAACGATGTGAGTGTGAAAGGAAGCCGTCTAGCGGCAATGAACGACGATAAATGATCATCATCATTGCGATGGAAGTCACCCTACTTAATTATTCTACCTATCATTCATGGCAGTACTAGTACCCTCGAGAAATGTAGTACTCTCCATTCGTCAGTATTGATGGCTGGCGATCGCACTTCGTCGTTGGCAGTTGTCGTTTGCCAGTTGGCGACTGCACTTTAGATAGCTATCTAACTGTAGCACCTTTACTTGTCCAATGACTATGTATTCAACATGTAGTCGCCAAAATGGTTATCGCTATTCGCTGATTCTGGCGGTCGCCAGTCAAGTATCAGTGGTTGCAGTCGTATGTACCACCATTACTCACGGTACGCTTAGAGGCGTCCAGAGCAGAACGTCAGTTTTGGAAATTTGTGCTTACCTAAACCTATTTGCTAAGCTGAATCCGAAGATCCACACTGGAGGACGCGAAAACGGCAAAAAAGGGCTCTAACGCAGGAGAGAAGATTACAAGTAAATGCAGCCTTTCCCTAATGCATTGGACCCTTTTCCGCCGATTTCGCGCTCTTCGGTGTGAATTCTCGGGTTCAGATTAGCCATTAGGTCTCTCGGATTCAGCGTGACGAGTAGGCGGGTAAGCATAAGATCTCAAAATAAACTATCTGCCCTGACGCCTTCGAGTATCTATCCGATATGTATAACCTAGAAACGTCTTCTCCAAGCCAAGGGCAGAGTTCACGCGTTCTCATCCCGCGATTATTCTCCCAAAAGACAAATTAATTCCATTGCATTCCGATTATATTGCATTTCGGTTGTGATAGTTAGTCACAGTTGGTCGTATTGAACTGACACAACAGAGATGCAAGATGATCGGCATGCAATAGACTCGTAACCGTTTGTTATGATGGAAGAATCGCGGCGATGAAATCGCGTGAACTCTGCCCGAGACTTCAGGCAGTCATGTGTGCCTCTGTATACAAACTCCTGCAGTTCTGATATGCGTCATTCCAGTGGCCGTACATCAAAGAAGCCTCAAGGTCAAAATTTACCTCAGTCAGCATTTTGGCTTACAACCCTGTTCACAACATGATCACAATGAAACATTCTCACGGGTCAATTCTACTTTGAGGTGGAAACCAACCTCGAAATAAAGCCATATTCATCAATCCAAAGGTTAAAATTTATCTCAATCATCATTTCTCCTTCAACTTTCCGCTATGCATTAAAGGTAGAATTCAACCCTAAGAAGGTTGAAATCTACCTAGACTTTACATATCGCAGAAACTGCACACCCCTTTGAGCATACGTATTAATGAACATCTTAAAGGCAGCATAGATCACGCACATCCACTCCATAGGTGTCCACAGGTGCAAGATGATTAATGAGCTGATTTCAGAGTAAATGTTAAGATCCTAGCGCGCTGAGTCCAAACACCCACTTGCAAAACCTTGAAGCTTTTTGAATGTATTAGGTCGTTCCGAAAGTAATGTCGCTTTTTTCAAACGTATGCCACATCTCGTGGAACAAAGATGTGTAGAAGGTTCTAGTAGCATTTGATGCAGCATTTCATTCTCTTTCTAATGGTTATGAAGCTGTTGCAATACAGTCAATGAGCTTCCAGAAAAGAGTCAGAATCTGTAACCTATGCTTTTTGAGATGGCCAAGTTTCACAATTTTTCTAAAATTTTATAACAAACCTCAGAAGGAGTCCAAGTAATGGATGGATGGAGCAAACCCTACAGGAAACAGCACAACTTTTTTCTACTTTCCAGAGCTCGTCATAATTTTTGTACAGATTTTTTGATGGAACCAGCGAATTTTAGCAGTCTCGTCTCAGACACAAGTGCATCAAACGCCAACAAGTATCCGGATTTTGAAACTTACAAAGATGGATTATGGTTTGGCAACAATTTTACAAACCAAACGAGCATTCACCGCTTCGGTTCAGCCACTTTCGGAAATTTCGGGTACACCTTGGGGTGCCTTGGAAAAGCTGAATTATGACGATTTTATCCCGGAAAACTGGATGAATCGGAAACAAAAATCGACCTCTAGAAAGAGGAGAAAAAGCTGCATCGAATGGCATCCGAGTCGCTTGCCGGTTATTGTTCTGTGAGGTTTGACTTGACTGAATGTGGAATTTCATGGCATTGAGAAATTGATTGTAGAAACTCTGAGAAGCAAGCTTAGGAAAAGAAAAAATTACTCTGTGTTCTATAGTGTTTGCTCTATCTACCTGACACTTGTACTTTTTCGGAGATAAGGTACAAAAATATAAAAAATTGCCGAACTTGACCATGGCAAAAAGCGTGAGTCGCAGATTTTGGTAATTTTTCGAGAGCTCATTAAGCGTTATGCAGTGAAAATAGAATCATTAGAAAGAGGATGAAATGCTGCATCGAATGCTTCTAAGATCTATTGAAAATGTTGATTCCACGAATAGTGGCGTTCATTCGAAAAAAGCGACATTACTTTCGGAACGACCTAATATTTCAAAAACTCTAGGATAAATCTGAAAAAAAAATATGTCCATATCACGCGAAGACTAGCGCCATATCTGGTTCCCCCTACTGTGAAGAAATATTTGATTCGTAAGCAATCTCCAAGAATTGTACCCGCAAATGAAAGGTGAGTACTGCGTGTAGCAGACTGCTTGTGGCTGAAAGAAAGCATAGAATTTTGCTAGTAGGACTGAGGAGATGTTTGGTCGGGCATTACTGCTTTTGCACTCGTTGCCGAAAACTTGAAATGGAAAATTTAAATTTGTAATTAGAGACCTACTATACCAACGCACCACCTTTCCTCCTTGATAATGCGCTGTTGATATGCATAATCTTGGAGCTGAATCACTCAACTTTACTTTCAGAATCTTTCCTAGACAGTAAACTGGCTAGTGTCTCATGCCAATGCTTTCCGTTCAATGGAGACGGCTTTAGTCTTAAGGAGGTGAACTTTGATGAATCACACCCACCAGAGCATTCTCTTGTAAATCTTTGACGACTTCTAGAGAGGCAAAGCGTATTTTTAGGAGTAACTACTCAAGGTGGCTGTTTCTGAATTCTGTTTTCATTATTGTCGCAAGCGGAACGGAGGAGGTGTATGATTCAAAATAATTCATCAAATTTGATTCTGGGTCAGGAGGTATTATTGTGCAGCCGATGCGAGTAGGAAGTAATTTATGCAAATAATGATTACATACATCACATACACTCAAGCAATAACTCGGATGAACGGCGGACTTTCATGCCTTCCAGGGCGGGAGGCGAGCCTCATGGGCGTAGTTTTGTGGGCGAGCGGCGTGCCCTCGGTGCATGATTGCAGGCGGCGGACCATGCTTGAGCGGGAGAGCGGCTTGCCAACATTATCATAGTCCGGCAATTCTACAATTCTCCCATTGGTGTGGTGTTCATTTTTGTCAGTGCTGTTTCCATGGCTTGTCACATGGACATCATGAGCTGCTAAAGTAATTGTGAATTAGCCGTTGTCAGACCCGCGATAGATCGTATGTATCACGCATGAACGTAACTTCAGAAATGAAAGATGAAGGTAGTTTCTGATGCGATTAGGTAAGTCGTAAATATTCAATGACTGACTCATGGTATCAATTTCAAAGAGCCTATATTCGGGATGATGTCCGATGCTAAGAGTTTTGCTGTTTTTGCGCAGTTTGAGTGTTGACAATTGAAATTTTAAAGAGAACGAAGCTTGGAGTGGAATACGCAATAAATGAAAGAAATGTTTTAGAGTAAACTTGATGTGTATTCACCTAAATCGCACACACTTGAATATCTGACTGAAAATCGACTAAGCTGATTACACAACACTTTCTAGAAGGTTCGGTCTCCATAGAAATTCAGAATTTACATACTCTACTAGCTTGCTTACCCGGCTCCGCTCGGCCCTGTCAAAACACTGTATTAAAGGTCCCAACCCTATCCCTGTACAGCCTTTCCCTGTGCCCACTTCTACACTTCATTTCGAGTTCCCTGTGTTGCATTCGGAATCGCCATGCCACTTACTTCCCTGTGCCAACTCCCAGCCCTATAGCTCAAACTTTGCAAAAAAATCGATAAAATCGATAAAAGTAATTGATAATTCTGAAATCTAATAGTGCATTCGAAATCAGCATGTCCACTTACCCCCCTGTGCCAACTCGCAGCCCCGTAGGTGAACTCTGCAAAAAAATCGATAAAAATCGATAAAATCGTCGATGACGAAAAGTAGCCTATGACACCCGGCCTGCCCCGAAGTCTATGTGTGCCAACCTAGAAAATTTCTGCTCCATCATGTGCTCCACCATATCCATCTACCGAGGGTAAACTAGATTTACATCAACTACCATGGATAATTTCTATTATCTTATAGTGAATTATAGATAGCTATCATAATTTGTGTTGTACTTCTTGCAGAATGAGTGCATGTGTTGTTACTCAAACGTGTTTCGATAAGGATTATCAAAATATATCGTCGAGTCATTCGTAACTTAATATGCGTAGTACACACCAAACACGCTAACTGACGAACATTAAAACTAGAACCTGCTCATTTCCAGTGATTTCTGCTTGTTCCCTTGTCTCTTCTATTTTTGTTGATTACATGTCAGTTATTAGAAGAAGTTTCTACACTTTGTTAGGCCAGAAAATGTTTCAGTGGAAAGTGACCAGTAAGGGTGCCGTCGCCAATAGGGCTTAGTGTGTGCAGTCTCACATATTAAGTTACAAATGACTCGAGGTTATATAAGCTAGCTAGAATGTCTGTTTTTAGCAAATCGAGTGCATTATAGCCGCAGCGGCAGCAGGCTGAGATTCTAAAGTGCTTTAAACAGCTGCTGGTATAACCTCATAGACGGGAGAGGCATGATTAGTCGCCCGCTCAAGGTATCCGTTACCCGCTTTATTGTCTGGACAGCGTGTCTTTAGAGGGAGGCAGCGAGAGGCATTATCGCTTGCCCGTTATAGATACTGTGCCCATCCGAGTTATTGTCTGAGCAGTTACCATAGTGCTTTCGATGTATGTTCATTCAAATTTTCATGTCCATTTCTGCGACGGTTGAACGCAAAGTCTTTCGCAGGCAGAAGCACATATACGTCGATTGTCGACAGAAGCGACTTGTAAGTCGATTTGCGGTTCATATAGTGCAGCTCAAAGTTTAACTTACACTCTGGCAGTCATGAAGCGTAGACTTGTATCTAATAAAAGTCAACTGACACGTTCAATTAAGAAAATGATTGCCCGTCTCGTGGGGATCTGTCATACTCCGCTCAAAGCTTTGGGGGCTCGAAAGCGCCCAAAACCCGTTCGCCCAAAAGCCCCGAAACGCAACTTTCCGCAAATCTTGTTACGAATGCCAACCAACGCTACAAAAATAATTATGGATTGCATAATAAGAACTCGTTACCTCTCGAAAATGTTGATTGAGATGATGACATCAAGCCGGAGTTCAATCCATTCACAAGTTATCACAGCGAATATTTCAGAAAGTTTCTAACAAGGAGAGGATACTTAGCCGAAAGCACCAATCCAGATGAGGCATAAATCATCTGGACGTGCTCGGAGCGCTGATTTCAAATCTGGCAAAATCAGCTGCGGAGCGCCTTCGGTTAACGAGTTATGGTTGTTTTTGTGAAGAGGAAAGAAAAAAATTTACGCAGAAGTCTCCAGTTGGGCTCGAATGGGGGAGTGATGTCTGTCAGAGTACTCTGCGCAAAGAAAAATGACTGTCTGCTATACTCACATTTGAAACGAGTCTATCTGCGAAATATACATGTTGTAACAATCAATTTTACTCTCTTTACCCATTCAATTTTTGGCTCTTCAAATGGTCATAGCTCCTCAAGCAAAGGCGCTCCGCAGCTGATTTTGCCAGATTTGAAATCAGCGCTCCGAGCAGGTCACAATGATTATGTCTCTGGATCGGTGGTTTCGCCTAAGTATCCTCTCCTTATAAGTGCGAGTAATTATCAGGTTGTCCCAAAACTAAACTCCTTTTTTGAATAATTCAAGCTGTTTTTGCTTTACTGGTAGACTCGGGGTATCATTCGATAGAGCAGATCAAGCTCTACAAAAAGACCACCAAGGGTCCGCCTAAGTCGCATTCCATGTAAACTTTGAAGCCAAAATCGAACAAAATTTTATCACCAGAAAATTGGATTTTCGCGAGGAAAAGTCCTACGGACCTCCAACTTGATCACTATACAGTAGGCACATAGTAGTACTCAAATATGCTTTTGACGAATTTTTCGGAGCATAGAAAGTGAGAAACAAAAATTGTCCAGAAATGGCAAACTCCGCCCCCAGCCCCTCCCACATATGTCATTGTATATTACAAGCCTTACTAAGTGCAATTTTAGAACCTTACCCCTGTATGTGCTCTTATAATCGAGGAATACCAAGTTTTAAACAAAAAACCCGAGAAAAGTGGCATTTTGGCATTTTCGGACTATCTTTTTTCTCAATTGTGAGCCCCGAGAAAAATCCGCCAAATACATTTTTGGGTATTACTATATGTCTACTATGTAGAGGCCAAGTTGGAAGTCCGTAGGAAAGCGAACTTCGGACTATACGGTGGTATCTTTCGATTCACCTAGTCTGGTATCATTTTGTAGAGCTGGCTTCAACTTATTGTTAGATTTACAGTATGGAGCGACTTATCGGTCGCTCTTCATCACTGTAGTATCACGGTAGAAAATTCAATAAGGGCTGCGAGCCATCAAGGACCCTATTTCGCGTCAAAGAGCATGCCGAATAACCAGAAAACTTTTATACCAGGTTAGTTGAAGCCGCTAAAACCACCCTAATTTCACGCGTACAAGGCGCACCTTTTTCGATTTTTCGACTACGCCCCTCAGCCGCTTGCATTATTTCGGAAAGCAATCCTTATGCCGTACGATTCCCTTAAGTAATATACAGCAAGGCATAGGGTCCTTTGGTTGCGAAGTTCTTTGGCGTATTTGGGCTGGTCGATTTTGGAAAGAAAATTCCCCGCGCCTTGTACGCGTGAAATGAGGGTAAATATGATGTTTGCACTTTACCGCAATGCTTCCTTCATAAGTTATGCCAGGTAGACCGCAATGGCTGTTTTCACAAGACTCTATAATCGTAATTACACCAAAAAGCTTCGCAAACTCGTAAGAAGTTAAATAATAAAATCAGCGAGTTTGAAAACCCCAGTGTACCACTTTCCAGATTTTTTTCGAAACATTTCTTGAAACACGCTAAACCCGTAATGAATCTATAAGCTGAAAGTTCCTACCGTTATCTTGCAGTAGTGAAGAACGATCCGTAATTTGCCCCATACTGTGAATCTAAGTTGATGCCAGCTCTACAAAATAGTGTTTAGAGGTAGGCAAAAGACTTCTTTGGAGAAGAGATATCAACGATCAAACAGTGTATACATACTTTTGGGAAACCCTGTACATGTGAAGCCATTCGTCCAAAGTTGTCACACTTCATTAAGGTAAGAGAATTGACATCTAGATAACCCAGAAATTTTATTACTTCACCGAGAATGTGCACAAGTCACCCGCAGAGTAGACCAGCTTAAAAATGGAAAAGAAAATGTTTAAAATAATTTGTATACTTGTTCCAACTCCTTGGCGCTCCACTTTCCATTTTTCTTGACATTGTAATGGGACGAAAACCACGAGAAATTTGCTGTAGGGTGATCTTTATACCACTCAGGACCATATTCCGTCTGAAACAAATTAACTGAATTTGTCAGCGGCACGAGTTTGATCTTGCACAGATTCCGGAAAAGTACGGAATGTAGCCGAGCAGAGTCTTGACATGAAGCGGAAGGCTCAACATATGAGCAAGTCAGATTATCTATTATTGCCTGCAATTTTGAAGCTTTTTCTAACATCTATAGCGCAAGCATACCAAAGTTATTGTGGATACAATTCTGGGGAAAAGCTCACATCGAAATTAGAGATTTCCGAAATAGTCGAAAGGGACGTACCACAACAATTGACTCAGAATTGCACGGAACCCAAAAGATGTGGCCGAATAGGTCTCCCGCACATATATCACTGATTCTAGATTTAGTCTCAGCTGTAAGGCAGGTCCAAGCAAAGATTAAGATCAGATTTCACCTCGGATACGTGTATTTGAACTTCCCACCGTCAGATGAGGAACCTCCAACCCATGACTCGTTTCCGGAACTATACATCCAAAAAAGATCCATTATAGGAAGGCTGCGATCTCGCGGCCTAAGTGTGAATTCATAGGAATCATTCGGCTGTCAAATGAGAATAATTTCCATTGTACTTCTACTCTTTCTCATGTAGCCTACCTTTCCAAACTTTCGCGTCAAATAAAATGTTGTTTGATTTTTCTGCAAATGTTCAAGTACTTCTGGCTTGTATTCATCCACGAATGCTGCGAAATCGATGTCCATTGTATGCGGTATGATGTCACACTCTCGGAACCATCCTGTAGTTCTCCAAAACTTTAAGTAGATTTTCCTGAACATTGTCCCTCAATATAGAACAGCACCTTATGGTGCTGGAAGAGGATAGGACGAACGAACCTACAGATTTATTCCTTTCATGAATACTAAATTTAGGGCATGGCAAGATTCGGAACTCGAGAGGGACAGTTTTTTGAACTTACAGGTTGACATTTATGCTTTTATAGCCATCGAACTTATACTGAAAACTGAGAAATAGTGCACCAAAAACGGCTTGTACTTTGTAAGCGTGAAAAGGATACACATTGAGCTTGACGGGAGCAAGCATGCTGCTGCTTTCACCAATCAGTATCATCGTGATGCACTTGTCAAACCAAAACTTAGCTCGTTTTTGAAAAAAAAACTCAAATCCTCTCGTCAGTTAAAGTACGCAAGCAAAACTTAACAAATTTATACATCTTTATGCAGACCTATTCTCTTGCTTTGGGACTGCGTACTGAAGATAGAACAGTAGAACACGGCTTCGCCTCTAGCGCTTTTGAGTGCGAAAACTTAGAATTTGATTTAGACAGGGATTTTTAATTTGCTAAAAGCGATGGGAGCTGAGAAAGGACGCATCATATTTTGCTGCTCTAGAGTAGGAGTACCCTATTTTCAGGTGTATAAGCCATACTTTTCAAATTTTCAAGCGAGCTGCTTAGCCGCTTTAATGTGTTTCGAGAAGCGATCCTTATGCCGCACGATTCTTTCAGGAAATACGCAACACGGTATAGGGTCCCTTGGTTGCGAGGTCCTTTGATCTCGTCGATGTAAGCTAGTACCACCCCGCGGCTTATACACCTGAAAAGAGGGTAAGTAAAATCTCGCATTAGCGAAATCTCCGATGAAGCACTGTTCGCGAGCTGGGGTCTATCGAAAAGCCCATACTCTTTCATTCTATACCATCCTAGTCAAAAAAAAGAATCTTAAAATTAGAGGTTCTTTGAAACCCTGCTTCTTATAAAAGGTGTGCTTCTTATAAAAGGTGAAGGTTGCCTTTCAAATATAGAAGGGAAAGATTTAACTAAACAGCTAAAGCAAAATAATCAGAAAATTGATTGAAAACGCTACGATACGTTTGAAACCTTTTTTCCGGAGGTATCTTGAATCGCGGGTTTCGCTTTAGAAACAGCCAGTTCACTACCAAGGAAAAACGAGAAGAAGCTAGTTTTTTTGGCATTTGACTTGAGGAGAATCACGTTTTGGACGTAACGATTGCTACGTTCTTAAAAAAAACCCTGCAATATCAAATGTCGTTGTGATCTTCATAAGACGACCAAATGCCCTGATGATATCACCGAGGTTGAAAACACTCTACATTGCGATAAACCTGTGATTCTGTGCAACTCTTGCTCAAGTTTGAAGCACAGTTTCTGGCCTTTATTGAATTTCATCAAACCCCGCGGATTTCCGAAACTCATTTGTAGTACAATAAGCTATTGTTGTATGATAAAATTGTTGCCATTTTTAGAGAAAATCTTATGAAAATATTCCGTTTGGCGACGGAAAAGGCTACGAAAAGGCATTTTTTGATGCCACTGATTCACTCTATTCTCTTCATTCACAATCGTTTTTGTTAAGTCGCTAAGCTTACTAACCAGAGTCTCGCTCCGGATTTTCCTCGTTCTATACAGGTAAAGGAAGTTTTATGCCCAGGTTAACACATTCACGACAATACGACCCATTGGTGGGTCGTACGTGTACTGCCATTTCGGGCAATGAGACCCAACCGTGGTACGTATTTCCAAACACTGCAAGCTCATAATGAAATCATAGTTAATTCCGGCACATGTTTGGAGACATCTACTCAGAAATCGGCCGAACGGCCCGCGAACCGAGGTGTTCGGCAAAGCCTCACATATAGCGGACGAGCGTCTGCCTCGCCGGACCGGCAGAGAGCGAGTGAGCAGCCATGAGAGACGCTGCACATGTCCGGACAAGCGGCCGCTGTGCGGTTAAGGAGAGTATCCAATTTGGGACCGGCGCCAGAACAACTAAGGGTCTCAAAGCGAATGCGAGAAGCGCGAGAATTTTGCATTCTAATTGCGAAAAGTTTCTATTATCTTACACAAAGTTTTTCTCAACCTTTTCTGTATCAGGCTTCTTTTGAGACCTCTTCTCCTCTTTCAATTAATGTTGTTATATTGCGCGCTCTCTTTAAATAACTTTAGTTATTGTGTTGCATTTTCGTAGAAAGTAAGGAGAGCAAGTAGCAGAACTACCTTCTTTCAGAGCAAAACGCTTACCAAACTTGGGCTACTCATCTTATTCTTTGTTGTGGTTGCTGCGTGCTTAGGAGCTGGTACTTTTCATCACTTCAGGGGTTAGTTTTAGGGCTTTCCCCACATAATAGAACCCAAAAAGTTTGCTTAGAAGGGTTGTTTTAGGAGTTAGTTACTAATAATAAGAAAGATAGTTTTTTAATTTGTTACTCCGTTTCTTCCCTTTCCTTAGACGGAGTTTTAAGATCTAGACCCTCTTCCGTACTCTTCAGTAAGGAGAGAGGGTCTAGTTTTTTTTTTCAAAGAAATTATTTTGAAAAAATTGTAAAACTCAACTTATACTCCGATTGTCGTCCAATTCTTCTTTTCTGTCGTGTGATCTTCTGTGTTGCAAAGTAAGAATGGATTTGTCTTGACTTGTTTATTTTCATTGTAATCATTTGTGTTGAATATATCATTTATACTTCGTTTCACATATATCGGTTGATCACATCGTATTAGCTCTGCTTGAGAGCCGTAAAGCGCCGCCTCGCTTACGTAACAAGCTTAACAACGTAGCAAAGCTTTTCCACATTGTTTCTTTGCCACACCATGCCAAAGATGCGCTCGCAACGCGGCTTGCGCGGCAATATCTTTGGGTGGTATGTGGCAACAGAAAAATGTGGAAAAGCTTTGCTACGTAGTTTTTAGCGCCACGTTATGCTAGACAATGCGCCCGCAACATGGCGAAGCGAGGCGCGTTTCATCAATCCACAAATCCACGGATGTTGAGGGAACACATATGGGTTTCGAGGGTACGTAATTTCCGAGCTTACTCAAGCTTTCAAGAGCCTCAATTTTGAAGAGGAGTTCAATTTCAACTGCGATGAGAGCAGATACTTGTATTAGAATAGTTTCTTCATTTACTTTCTGCGACGAGGCGCACCTACTTGTCTGTTTGTTTATCAGAGTTTGCTATCACTTTGCATTTTTTGCTTGAGGTCATTTCTTGCGTTCCTGTGACTGGGCACACCGGGGTAGGGAAACGAACTCCGCCAGTTTCAACCGTCTCCGCAGATCACTGGTCCTACAGCGACATGCAACGGTACAGCAAAAGGACCAGTTGCCACCGAAGGCGGGCTCAAACTGGCGGAGTTCGTTCCCTGTCCGGCTTACCGTCATCAAAAATCGGGGTTCCCTGCCTCCCAATCAACAGCCAACTTCTACGTACCCAAGCTCATCTCCATCAGTAGCATGTTAAGTGATCAAAAGGATTATGATGCGAAAATACTATAGCAATGTTTGTAGTGTATCTTATATATGAAGCTGAACGTCTGTCTGTCTGTCTGTGTGTACGTCGAATAGAAAATTCATTTCTGAACCGATCCGAACCAAACTTGGCACACATACATTTCGGGGCCGGGCGGGTGTCATAGGCTACTTTTCGTCATCGATCGATATCGATTGGGAGTTGACACAAGGGGGGGGGGTAATCGAGCATGCTGATTACGAATACAATATTAGTGTTCAGAACTATCGATTACTTTTATCGATTTTACCGGTTTTCTGCAAAGTTTGAGCTACAGGGCTGGGATTTCGCACAGTAGGGTAAGTGGGCATGCTGATTACTAACACAGCGGGAATATAGCATGTAGACATGGGCACAGTGAAAGATTTTACAGGGATAGGGTAGGGATGTTAGCTTTATCATAGCGTTTTGATAGGGTCGGGCGGAGTCGGGTAAGCCAGCTAGTCTTGAAATAAACAGCTTGATTACGAATACGATTTCTCTATGCCTGAGATCGTAATAAAGTTCTTTGGTTTCATTCCTTCCACGCCCTTGAACGCAGAAATTGTCAGTATGGCAGGAACAACGGATATAACAAAATGCTTCGAAAAGTTGAGTCCGCTCGGCCGGTGTTTGGCCGGCATATCGCTTGGCTTTTGTGCGACCGGACGAGCGTATAACTCTAATTATATAGCTACCTCGCGGACCATGAGACTTATCGGTGATTGAATCAAAAACAAGAGAAACACGAGGCATTGATAGGTCAGTCCAAAATGGCAGAGTTCGTTGAAATAGCCTTGTCGCGACTGTGTTAAGGTCACCAGAGTAGGGTAGGGCCAGTAGCCACGATCAGTCGGAAAGCGATGCGGCAACGCGAGTCAAACAATACGAAAGATAGCACTTGTTAGTATTCCTGGCGCACATTACATGAGGCCTTGAGTTATGCATCTGCCCTCTCCCCCCAATGGCGCCGTGCCACTTTAGCAGCATAACATTTTGCCACTTTAGCAGCATAACATTTGAGCACGGCGAGCTTCCGCCGCGCGCGGTGTGGATCCCGACCATTGCTCTGTATATCGAAGATATGCATATGTCTTGTCGCAAACTATGTCGTGCTCATCAAATTTCAAGTTTTTCGTTAAACCCCATCGCGCAATTAGTAATTTACCGGAAGTTTCAATAACATGTACTCATATGTACTATAACATGTACTTGTATGTACTATAAGCATGCAAATAGTAACTTGATAGATATTCACTGTAATATTGGACATTTCCACAAGTTTATCGAAGATGAGCCATTGTGAAAACAAAGGCTGATCCTCCTGGCGATTCCCTAAGAAGATCACACAAAGGTGGAATTTTTAATCTGTAAGGAAAAACCTTGTCATTCATCATGCCGAGAGGTATCAAGGTAAGGACACTTTCGTAAGACAGAGGGGCAAAGAAGAATGTGGATGTCTGGAGTAACGAGATATGATGCATTCCTTTACATC